ATTCGAGCATCACCACCACCAGAAGAGGCGAAGACACCGCACCCAGACTCTCTCCAGGATGGGTGAGAGAAGACTATCTGATAGTTTAACGTGTCCGGCATGGACCTTGACTCGCTGCAGCAGGGTCAACAGACCCATTTTAGGCCCTCCACTACTGCACGCAATTGCTCTGGTCTTAAGCCGCCTGATATACTTATATCGACAGGCCGACTGCCTCCCCAGAGTTTAGCGAGTTATGTATGCGGTCCTCCCCTCCTGGGCTGCCTCTTCAGGCGAGTTGGCCTCTGTTTACCGCTTCCCTGTCCATGACGAGATGAAATCATACTTGTACGGAGCACACGGGCGTGCCCAGGACGGCCGGCCGTTCTCTTCCTCGGCCAGGTGCCGTCTGGAATCACATCTTCACCGTTAATTTCGTCTCCTTTGTTCGTCCTTGCTCTAGCCGAGATGGTTGTGTCGAGCCATTGATCGCCAGTGATCACACGCTTGAATTCCATCACTGTACGTACTGTCAACGAAGCCACGCCTACCTCCAACGCTCTGCCGCTGCTACCGATAGCCATGGCTCCTATGTTGACGGGAGCGTTATACACGCATGCATGCATAGGAAGTTACCCCGCTCATGTCCGGGGAATACTTGACGTAGATGGCTGAGAACAGTGCAGTCGGTCAAAAGAAAAAGGAGCTCTGCCGTCTCCCTACCAACTGCTTGATTCACTAACTACAAAAAGAGGACCTCGGCGGTGGACCCCAGAGGGGGACAAGCAGTGAGGGTGGGAAGCATATGCTTGTATACGGCAATCAAACATATGCATTGAGAAAGGCACGGCCTGGTCTCCGGATCCCGGTTACGGACATCCCTTCCCTCGCCCATACTTTAGGGCCCAGGCGGGAGGTCGACGGGGGGTGCAGACGGGTCTATCAAGTGACTATCATATGCCCGGGCCTTGAGTTTAAGTATACACCTCTTCGTTCTTACCGTCTTTTTGCATACTACTCTATCTTATAGATCTATAGCCGAGGACTCTTTGCCCGGCTGTACGCCCAGCTCATGGAGGTAAAATTGCCGTTGGTACAAAATGCAACTCCAGTTCTTTGACTAATCCCTCTCACGAACTACCAGCGAGTCACACAGAGAAGCTGGGAAAATGGGGGAAAACAGCCTAAGCGGCGGACGAGGGGCTTACACTGTCAAAATGTCTGTCCAACCGGCAGGCCAAAGGGATACCCTCCTCTATCCTGAAGCGTTGTGAGTTCTAACAACCGTCGAACGATCTATCATGTTGGCGTTGCCTTCTTCGGCCGCTTAAGAATAAGTTGTGTAGTTATGGATGTCTCGGATTCAAACCCTTGATTGATCATTAGTTTCTTACTATCAATTGTACTCGAACATAATTCTTAACTTACAGCTGAACATATTTCTTCTCAGCTAGAAGAGAACTATGTTTAATAGTTCCTTTGCGTCTGATTCATATCACCCCCTTCTGTCTAAGAGATACCTCTTTATCGGCGCTGACTCCCCTTAGATTGCGACCCATTCTATGGGTGGTATCTGATCAGTCGCGCCTTAAAGGTAGCAGTGAAGCCTTATGCAGTTGTATGATAGCCGTATTTCAGGCAGATATCATCAGCTAGTTACGACAGACACCCCTTAGTTATCGATATGGACTCTTCATTCAATTTGTTACCGTGGGTAGCAGCTGCGGCTATCAGGCACCATTGGACGTAATCACAAATGCTAGACCGAGATACAGCTCTTTTTTTCTCTTTTTTTTTTTTTTTTTTTTTTGATCATAGGGGTGCTCTTTTTGCCTTATCATTTATTACTTCTATCTATCGTGCTCCGCCAACCCATATTCTCGTTCGTCCTTGCCGAGTGGTTATAGAGGGAGGTACGCGAGGTATTCTGTGCATCATACCTTTTCGACCATAGTACGCCTGAATAGTCTGGAAAGAGTAGTTATCTCGAGGAACTAAGTATGCGCTAGAAACGAGGGTGCAAGGGAGATGGGCTCAAATCAACAACCAGAGGATTCAAATTGTATATTAACTACCGACATATCCCGGCATATAGCATGTACATGGTTATATGTGTGTGCGCGTCATTCTATCTTGTATATCAATAACACTTCTCGCTTCCTCCACTTGGCGGCTAATTGAGGCCAGGCAAGTGCCGCAAAAGCTTAAGTTTCTTATCTTTGAGTAAGTTAAATAAGAAAACTAACCTACCCCACCGACGAAGTTTGCATAGGAGTCATAACTACTGTGCAAGTTCAACCACAGTAGAACAAAAGGGAGTCGAACGGAGGAAGAGAAGAGATAAAAGAGAACGGTCGAGAGGCTTGCCTGCCAGAAATCCTCCTCCTGAAGCCAACAAAGACGCTGCAACTGGACTAATGATGGCGCTGCCATTCCTGCTCTCCCATACACCTGAGTCAAGCTCCACGGAGGGCCTCAGCCTTAGGCAGATCTCGTACTTCGGAAGGGTTCTTATAAAGCCATCGAGCGTTGACTACGCTCTCTCCTTTATCCGGGATAACTTCTCCCTGCTGGATGTCTGCATTGATGCGACAGCTTTCACGGATGTGGCAGACATCGTTGACGTTCTCAACGCTGGAGCAATCCTTGCCTTTGTAACGCTTGACCAGCTCAAGACGCTATCAAGAGAGCAGAGTGTCCCTTCGTCACGATTAGTGGTGCTCTTATCATCTGCTTCCGAAGTGCTTGATTTGAAGAAGTGGGTGGCTGAAGAGGCTGAGCGGAAAGAGATTAGCATCAATTGCGCTTCGTCCGAGGCATTGGATACTGTTATATCCGAATTGGCCGATGACTCCTCCGTCAAGACAGTCTATAGGTCCAACGATGCCTCAACAAGCCAGACGGCTCTCCTGACTAGCGAGCAGGAGGGTGTCGTTAGCATTATTCCTTCTGCTATTCTGTCTGCAGAGAAAGAAGAGCTTTCACCTGCAAAGTTCCTGGTTGCTGGAGCTGTTCCCGATAGCAACACCGGGTTATACGCTACCACTGTCACAGACGAGCGTGGAATCTCGCTAGGGCTTGTCTGGAGCAGTGATAAGAGCATTGCTGAAGCCATTAGGACCGGAACTGGGGTGTATCAGAGCCGGAAACGTGGACTTTGGTACAAAGGGGCGTCGAGTGGTGACACCCAGGAACTTGTCCGTGTTGGCTTGGACTGTGACAATGATTGCCTTGTCTTCGTAGTTAGACAGAAAGGAAGAGGTCAGTCTACTATTATACGTCCTGTACGGGCTTGAACTGATATATACGCGTATAGGCTTCTGTCACCTCGGAACTGCCAGCTGTTTTGGAGCGCATAATGGCCTTTCCCGTCTACAGCACACTCTGCAAACTCGGAAGCAAAGTGCACCCCCTGGCTCATATACCTCGCGTCTATTCAATGACCCCAAATTGTTGGAAGCCAAGATAATGGAGGAAGCGGAAGAGTTATGTCAAGCGTCAAAAAAGGAAGAAGTTACCTCTGAAGCTGCCGATTTGATTTACTTTGCTCTTACAAAGTGCATTTCTTCCGGCGTTTCTCTTGAAGACGTTGAGAGAAATCTTGACTTAAAGAGCCTAAAGGTGAAGAGAAGACAGGGTGATGCGAAACCAGCGTGGTCTAAGAAACTTGGCCTTGCCTCTACCAAGGGGGGTTCCGGAGAGACAGCCAAAGAGGATGCCAAACCTAAGCCTCCAGCTGCAGAAGCAAATGGCAAAATTACAATGAAATGCTATGTTACTGCATCAACTCCACCAAAGGATGTCCGAGAGGCTCTCCAAAGACCTTCCCAGAAATCCAACGATGCAGTCGTCAACCTCGTTCGCCCCATAATTCAAGATGTTCAGCAGAATGGAGATGCAGCAGTGCTAAAGTATACCCACAAATTCGAAAAGGCTACCTCCTTAACATCACCAGTGCTGGTTGCTCCTTTTCCTGAAGAAATGATGAAATTGTCTCCCGAGACTAAGACGGCTATTGACGTGAGCTACGAAAATATCCGGCGCTTCCACGCCGCCCAGCAAGATGAAAAGCCGCTATCTGTCGAAACCATGCCGGGGGTAGTCTGCTCACGCTTTGTCCGTCCCATTGAAAAGGTTGGCTTGTACATACCCGGAGGCACGGCCGTACTGCCTTCAACCGCACTTATGCTAGGCGTCCCTGCCATGGTTGCCGGATGCAAGAATATTATATTCGCATCTCCACCTCGGTCTGACGGCAGTATCTCTCCAGAGATTGTATACATTGCCAAAAAGGTCGGAGCTGATAGCATTGTGCTTGCTGGTGGAGCCCAGGCTGTCGCAGCCATGGCCTACGGCACCGAAAGCATTACCAAAGTAGACAAGATTCTCGGTCCGGGAAATCAGTTTGTAACAGCTGCCAAGATGTTCGTGTCAAACGATACTTCTGCCGGCGTGGGTATTGATATGCCCGCGGGACCTAGCGAGGTGCTCGTTATCGCTGATAAACACGCAAATCCTGCCTTTGTCGCGTCAGACTTACTCAGTCAAGCAGAGCACGGCGTTGATTCTCAGGTTATACTCATCGCGGTCGACATGAATGAAGCCGAGCTCAAGGCCATTGAAGATGAACTTCACTCACAAGCTATGGCCCTACCACGAGTAGACATTGTTAGAGGCTCAATAGCCCACTCCGTGACCTTTGTTGTCAAAAATGTGGAGGAAGCTATGACTCTGAGCAACGAGTATGCTCCTGAGCATCTGATTCTCCAACTCAAGAATGCAGCAGATGTTGTTCCGCTTGTGCAAAATGCCGGAAGTGTCTTTATTGGCGAATGGACTCCTGAAAGTGTTGGTGACTACTCTGCTGGTGTCAACCACTCCCTACGTATGTATCATCGATTTTTACATTTGTTTTCAATGTCTCCAACAGCTAATGAATGGTGTTTTCTAGCAACTTATGGATATGCGAAGCAGTACTCTGGAGTGAATCTTGCCTCCTTCGTAAAGCACATCACAAGCTCAAATCTGACAGCCGAAGGTTTGCGCAATGTATCCAGTGCTGTGATGCAGCTGGCTTCCGTAGAAGGATTGGATGCCCATCGACGAGCAGTGTCTATTCGCATGGCTGCGATTGATGGCCAGTAAGTTTTGAATATGGCCTTGATGTCATTTGAACGGTAGCGCAGAAATTGAGTACATATTTTTTTCCATATCTTATCTGTGTATGGTTCTGTTTGCAGCTCCTGGGCAACTCTGGTTGTTCTACTCCCCAGTTCCTGGTCATCGATACACTTTAATACCAATGTTAAATCATTATATCACTGCCTCTTCTAACCCCATTGAACGCCAGAAGGAAATTCGTAGTCTCGTTATATAAGCGCAAAAGACGACTTGAATGATTATTTTTTCCTTTCCCTAACCTTCCACTTGACGCCATGTTTATTCACACCCCCTACAGACCTGGCCATTTTTGCCCTCTGGAGAGCCAACTCTTCCTCTGCAGCCGATATATCTGCGTGCTGCTGCTTGAGTGTCGCAAGCTTCTTGAGCCGGGACTCGGCCGCTTTTTCCTTCAACCGCCGCGCAATAAACAGCTCTTTTCTTGCTCGTTTCTCGGCTTCAACTTGTTTCTTCGACATGGTCTTAGCCATTTGCTTCAATTCATCAACGGTCAGTTCCCTGGAGGCATCTTCATCGCCCTCTCCGTCATCTTCTTGCTCATCCCTGTTCACCTTTTCTTGCTGCTGCTCTTCCACCGAGTCGACAAAAATTAGTTTCTTCCCGCCTAGGCTCTCTGCTCTTTTTATTCCTTTCTGTAGATTTGCCTCTTCTTCGGTTTGCGCAAGCTGCCTCCGAACTCGTTCTCCTACGACTCGCAGATACCCGGCATCCTGTGTCTTTAACAGACTCACAGTTGCATGGCTTAAGGACTTCGATTCTCTGGCCCCATGTTTCCCATGTATTTGAGAGCCTTCTGACATCATTCCGTAGGCAAACTCATCCGGATTACGGTTTCGAGCCTTCTCTCTGAGGCGCTGCAACTGGGCCTTTTTGAGATTGTAATCTTTGGCACGAAGGGAGTAGTCCTATATTTGACACCATATTATTAGCCAATCAAGCTTATATTCGCCAGGCGACACAGATCTAGGGGGTCCTATCACTTTGTGCTTTTCTAAGAGACCCCATTTCTCACGGGCAGCTGGCTGTGCTCTCTCGCGATGCACACGCCGCTGCACAGCATTTCGCATGGACGACATAATGACTGTTCAAACCGTGAGCTGGTAATTAAACGACTTGAAGTAAAAATAACTTGGTATCTATTTCCCTTAGGGCTGGGAATAATATAAGAAACGGACGCTGGAGAGTGGAAGTCGTTTGAAGTTGTTGACAGCCAGATTTTTTGTTTGACTTGGAAAAAGTTCTTGCGTAAAAAAAAATTAAGTTTCCAACTCTAAGAGCTTTAACCAACGTCGTTGGTACCGATTGTATGAACGAAATGTCGATGACAGCTTGAACATCTCCACGGCCAGGTCGTCAGCGGCCCTTCAGTCAGCTTCCATTATAGCGGATGGACTAGCTATATATACCATTCTCTCCTATTTTGTCTCCTTTTCTGAAAACCCAGCAGCGATGGCCACCACTTCCGCCCCGTCGGCTACGGAACCCCCCCCAGCATCAGCTCGTCGAAGGGTCGATCTTCGGAACCCTACGCCACTGTCTGCTACTCAGGAGGCAGAAGTGAAGCAGGCGTATTATAAAAAGGTCAGGGGGCTTTGTGATCCGGTAATAAAAGGTAAGTCTGTCATTGGATTCTTTACGAGAGCCGTCCCGTTGTGCAGGCAACATTATGCTCGAGAGTATTTTAACTAATGGGTTTATCTCTTTTATGATAGAATTCGCAGCGTGCGCAGTCAACCGTACAGTTACTGCTACATGGGTTTGTCGAAAGCAGCGGCTTGCTATGAACGCCTGTATGGTTCTTCACGCTCGACCAGAGATAGAAGATTTGGCGCGAGAAGAATGGTTCGCCGGTCGAGAGGAGAGAATAAGAGCCCGAGAAAGAGAAGCTCAGGAGACTGAAAAACGAAGGCAAGAAGTTATTGCCATGATGAAGAAGGACGAGGAGAAACGGGCTGCAGCCAAAGCCGCGAAGAGTTCATGAGAAACTATGATAGACGTACGTCACTCCTTTGGACCGATTGTTCTCTTTCAGCAACTATCAGGCGTTTCTTCGGGTTGGAGTCGGATTGTATCATTTTTCTGCTTAATTGTATTATATACTCGGATGCGGTCTCTTGCAAGAGCAATGTCTCAAGCCATATACCCAGTTGCTGTCAGACTAGCAAGCTAGCACGCTATCCTTTCTTTACTCTGGAAGAGTTACAGGTCAATATCTGGCTCACAACTCTGTGCCATTTGGAAAGCATAATGATTAGATATTGTACAAAATAAAACCCATAGATCTCCGCTAAGAAACCTCCTTCCGGAACATGCCGTTTTTTAAACCCCCTTCCAATACGCCGTTAGTAGATTAATTTTTTTCTTTTTTCTTTGGTTAGCAACGCCGTGGCTAATTAACGGTATTTCGATGTTCGGCCCAATATAAGGCGTAATCAGACATCCGTCATTGTCTTGTCTTCATCCTTATTGGCATCTGCGGTGGAAGTATGGCCAAAGACGTCTTCCATCCGCCCATCTTCATCATCCTCTTCCCTCTCTTCTGTGTCTTTCTCAGCAGACGCGCCAGCGCCAGCAGCTTGCGTATCAACTTCCATTTCCTCTTCACCTTCACTCTCCCATTCTCCTTTCATATCCCACCCTACTCCTGTCAGACAGAACCGTTCTGGTGGCAACCGTATACCGCCCATCATGGTTTCCTGTCCTGAAGCTGTAGCGCTACTTGACCCTCCCTCTTGTCCCCTTGAGACACCAGGTAGCATAATCCGATTCCTTTCCGCTGCAAGGTCCATTAAAAATTCCTTGGGTAGGCCTGGCTGGAATTGATAATGTAACCGAGAAGCAATGCTCATTCGCAGCGCACCTAAACTAACGCCATTGCTGCCATCTTGATGCGCATGGGCTCTACCACCACCCTCTTTCTGTAGTTCTCCTGGATATCCCTCGGTCGCTAGATATACTGCATCTTGTAAAGTGCTTGAGGTGTATCTGTAAGCGAAATCGAGAAGTTGGAGCGGGACCCGTTCCTGGTAGGAAGTGACTCCGAGAGAGGCCAGTAACATGTGAATTAATCGTGCATCTCTGGGTCGTCTGCTTTTACCGCTATCTTGTAGTGAGGTAGAAGGTATCTGAGCTGGGGTGGTACTTGCAGGCGCAGCTGGGTTTGATGATGGTAGAGGCTCTGCTGGAGGTGTAATTGGCTGTGTTGAAGGAGCGGACGGTCCCGCAATAGGAGTCGTATTGGGCCTGGGCGAAGCCATCTCGTATTATTATGATATATTGAGGGCTTGAGAAAATCCGGGGGAACTCGGTGGAGGTCTGGTTATGATGACGGCTTTGAGCGCATGTATCTCGCCTGACCTGCAAGCGGGGATCGTAGTTTCTTAATAGCGGCCGTGAGCCGAGAGAATATGGCACCAAAAGAGAAGGGAATGGGGGGCTCCGGAAAAACCAGCTCTGTTCGGCCGTGTGGGTGCGTATTGGGGGGCAGTAAGGCGGATGAAGATGTTGTCACTCGCAACCTTGGTTGTTTCTTTGCGATATTGAAGTCGCGCGCGGATCATGTCACGTGAAACACAGTTTAAGGTTGCCGGACGTCGATGAAGCCAACGCCTGAAAACTTCCATCATGCCGTCGTTCTGCCTGAGATATCCCTAGGAAAATAGGAATTCCTAATTTTATTGTTGAGCGGATGGATAGAGTATTTACAACTAGGCAATACTGTTTCAGGGGGAAGGGGAACCTATGAATATAGACAGGAAGTCGGCGAATTAAACATTTCTATTAGAGTTAACACCGAACTAACATCAGGCTCAGCACGCTCGCTGGCTTACGGCAAAAGCAGCAAACAAATATCAAGACAGGAGTGAGTAAATGGGGGAAACACTCCATAAAAGAAAGAAAAGAAACAAATCCCGCTTATGAATGCACCAGATGCTCAAGCAATGAAGCCAGGGAGCTGAGTCCCGGGTAGACCTCCGAAAAGGGGGTATAAAGTGCCATCTATATCGAGCCGCTCAGAAGAATGGGGAAGGATATAGAGAAACAGAAAGAAAAGCGAAACTCCGGGACTGAAACGCCAGCCAGTCATAGTCCAAAAAAAAAAAAAAAAAATACACAGCCATCTCCCCGATAGCTTAATGTAGCAATGCGATTTCTCTAGCGAACTGGAAGACTTCTGGGAGTGCGTGCGGGAGGCTTGGGTACCCCGGAATCATCAGTATCTTCCTCGTTCGACCATGCAGGAACCTCATCAGACATCCGCCGCTCGTCTTCTTCATCGTATTCGTCTTCTTCAGAAATGTCGTCCATGTCCTCGTACACGGAATCATGTATAGAATCATTCATATCGCCAGAAATCTCTATAGAGTCGCGAGATATATAGGTCTCACGGATGCTACTGTGGTGATCGACATCGTATTCATCTTCATCGTCAGCCCGATCTGAGCCGACGTCGGTGTCTGTAAGTGAAAACTCATCCAGCTCCCTCGGTTGGTCCCTCCAATATGTAAAATCAGTAAAGTCCTCGCCACCTTCCTGCACAAGTGTGCTGACTGGTGGGAAGAAGTGGTCGACCAGCTCCCTCATTGTCACGTAGCTGCTCTTATACTTGGTTAAACTGAGAAGATCAAGCGAGACTTCTGCGTTTGAGTTGATGGTGAATATCCTGGTTGAAGGGATATTGACAGATCGATAACTGAGTGCATCAGTAAGACGGTTACCAAAGCCAGCATAGAACGGGTTCTGGCGTCCTTCGAAAAGACTAAGGATATCGCGAAGGCAGGCCATTTTGAATACTTCCGGTTTGCGGAGGTATATCTCACGCCGTAGTGCGGCGATTGTTCGGTCAGGGCTCATGATCACTGGACCCTGGGGGATTTTATATCCATCCTGCAAAATCCCTTTGAGATATGCTCGGGTGGTGTCCGCTTGGCCGGTAGATCTACTTGTTAGGTACATGATATTGTAACCATTGCTTGCAATGTCAGTGTAGAGCTTTGCAACGCCAAGGTGAGTCCAGTCTCGCCCGATCATATTCAGAACATGCCCAAGAGCATCAGACCTATAAGAAGTTAGAAAAATGTGATCTATGTATAGAGTACAGGCGCATAACTAACTTGGTTATGGTTCCGTCAATATCGGAGATGACAATAGGAACCTTGTAGCTCCATAGGTACATGGTTGCAGGGCAAACGGCTTTGTTGACACTGAAGGATATCGGGTTTGCACCGGGCTTAAGGTTGAGCGCCTTAAGCTGATCGCTCGTTAAACGCAAGGTCTTCGCATAACTACGACCGCCTTCCGGCTGTTTGTCTGTCGGGGTTTGCGGCGGGGTAGGATATCCCAACTGTGCGTCTGACTGAGAGCGGTGATGTTTCTGCGGGTGGTTGTTGTAGTCCAGCTGATCGCTATCGCTTTGGTATCCTGGGTCTGATACGGCATCGTCTGCCATACCGTTATGGTGTTGTAGGGCGCTATAGGAAGCCTTACGACCGGCCGCCTCCTTGGCCTCTTCGCTACTGTAGATCCATAGATTGCCATGCTCGTCAGCCCCAATCAAGGCACCAATATCATAGTTTCCCTCTAGCTCTTCGGCTAGGATCTTACGAGCAACCACCTCTGCTCTCAGGGCCTCGTCCTCGCTACTTTTGTATCCAGTCATATCAAGCATCAGATCGCCACTCTCAGTCACCTTGGAAGGAATATTCGACCCCGATAGCTTTTTGGATAGTGAAATAGCCCTGGAGTAGGCCTCTTGACGGGAAATCGGGGGCGGGCTCTGGGACCGTGTCGTCTGCGGTGAACTGTTTGCACTCGGGCCATTTGTACGGCCAGCTTCCAGCAGGTCATCTGACCGAGATCTGTCTAGCTTATGGCCTGGTTCACGTACATTCTTCGAGACAGGGGAGGAACGTTCAGTTTCGCCATCCAAGAGGGGTTCAGTTGTTGCGCGGGCCTGTTTTGGAGGGGTAGGCGACTTTGAGGTAAGGTCAAGGTATTCGGGTTCTTGTAAATTGAGGGTACTGCTGTTATTTGGCTCATTTGGCGACTGCTGCGGGCTAGCAGCGGGAGATATAACAGGTGAAGTTTGCAGGTCTTCCGGGACGTCACCGGTAGTTTCAAATACGAAAAAGGCTTCCCCGCCTTCCCCGAGCTTCATGGCATAATCTTGCTTGACCCCATTGACGCTGAACTCGACCTGAAGAATGACCGGTTAGCACAAGATGTTCCATCTCTTTACATCCCTTCTGCTGCCGGAGGCTGGCAAGCCTACCTTCTTCTCGTAGGGCCGGAGGAGGGAGAATTTGCCGAAACGGACATGGAACGGCGAGCATGCGAGTGTTCCTGGGATTGGGACGGTCAGCAACTGCATGCATCAACATATCACCCGGGCCTGAAGGGAACTGACCGTCTTCTTGCTCAATGACTATAACGTCGATGGCACCGCTGAGGGTGGCCGGATTGATAGAATTCCATGTCTTAGATACCGAACCGCTGATACTCCTGACGTACTGCATCCCGCCTAGCTCGGCATGTGAAGTTGAAGACAGCTTACAGAAGACAGCACCGGGAGAGCACGCAGAAAGAGAGAGACAGACACGGGACGTTCGACAAAGGCAGGGACTAAGCCGGCGGTTGTTGGGAGCTGAGGTTGCGGTTGACGTCGAAGTCGCAGATGTTGAGGCCGGCGAGCACCGCAGAACATGTGACGAGAGCCCCGGCGAAGAGAGTTTCCTAGCGGGTCGCTTCGGCGAGAAAAAGCGCAGCGAAAAAGAAAAGACAACGAGACAGCGACGATTACTTCTTGTTATTATTTCTTTTATTCTACACCCACGAGACGATGTGACTTTTGACGCCGATTTATAGAGTCGGGAAGAGGAACCGGGGGGGGGAGGGGCGAGACAAAGCCCGACAGCCTTATAAATAGCTGTTTTTTGGTGGCGCTAAACACGGCAGCATCCATTTGTTGAGACGCTACAAGAGCAGATCTCAAGGTCTCTCTGGCTATGCAGAGTCCTGCAGGTAGGAATGAGGTTTGCTCTACGGCTTATATCAAACACTGGCTGATCTCCGCTTCCTTTTCGCTGCTGTTGCGGTCTCTCTCCCGGGTCGGAACAGATGGCAGGCGGGTTTCTGTCTGTCAAGCTGCACCACCTCCCGACCTACGCTTGTACGGAGTACGGAGTAACTCGCTGTGAAACCAAGGCGTGGCATGGGTGGTTACATTATTATTCGTGGCATGGCCTGGACAGTTCTCAGCCAGGCATTCTAGACGGCCCTAAGACGGTGCTAAGAAGTCTTAGCATTCCAGCCAGTACAGGCGGCACAGCTTCTCTCGCTCGCTGCATGGCCATCCCTGCCTCCTCCGGTTGGCTGCCATCCAGGGCAGAGCAACAGATATCCTCCAGGAGACCTACGAGACATGGCTGGCCTCTCGCAGTCGCTGTTGCTGGGCTGCCGTGCAGTTTGCTGGCGTCTGCGGAGCACGTAGACATCCCCTGGATGTTTATCAGGGCGAGCGAAAGTTTTTCATGTGAGAACGCCACTGGTGGGCGGAGACAGTTACTAACTAGCTTAGCTTTTGCCCTGGCAGCGAGGAGAAAAAAAGGTGGAAGGCCCGCCTGGAGGAACCGATTTCGCCCTTCTCGATGATAAGCTGCTGAGAGGGACGGATGAGGCTCTGTGGTGGCTGACCAGGCCGCGGCCTAGATAGAAACACTGGACAGGAGATGGGCGGCTGAGCTTCAAGTCGAAGAGCAAGACAATGCCTGAAGAAATCGCCAGGGGACAGGGAACAACTATCAGCCCTTCGTTCAATAATAACTATACCCCATAACTAGCTTGCTAGCTAGCCAGCTATCAAAAGATCTTTTGGCTAGTAACGCATTTACGAGTCGTCAATGTACTTATCAACAACCCTAGGGCAGCACGCAAAGAGACCATATCGCAGTAATCAATCCCACAGCCACCAGCAAGCCCCCAGACATCTGCCATCTCCCTGATATTCTCCTACTTTTCCTACTTTCTTATTCACCGGTCTTTGTAATATTGTCTTTTCCATCGCCATCTCTCAAGTACAGATATGCTTAGTCATCACGTACCGCGGCAAGCTAAATCTTTAATCCGCAAAATATTGCAAATTGAACGACCAAAAGCGAGCCAAAGGACGAAGTTGAGCAAGTCGCGCGAGCGAAAGAAGGGCACTTTTGAACCGGACCCGGCGTGCAGAGATGAGCCGGTTTGCGACTGGAGGCCTCGGTTTTCTCGCTCGTCTTTAATGGGGCGTTTATCATGGGGAGATACGAGTCGTTGCGCCTGGTGGCAGACACCTATCCTGGTGTCCCCCAGGTACGAGTCCAGGGTGCAATGGCGTTGTTCATCGCCAGCTCGATCCTATGGGCACTGATGTGGTAGGTCTAAATCGCTTGCGGCTCGTGTCTTTTATCCATTGTACTCAGCTAATCTCCGTCTGTTTTCCCTCCGCGCCGATTTTAGGCTCACCTACCGCGCATATCAAGTTTGCCTGACGCCGAACGAGCTACTCGTTGAAAAGCTCGGCCTAGATATTCCTCCCACTCCGGAAGTGATTCTGGAAGAGATAGGGGCTACCGATATACGGATAGCTTGGAAATATCCGGAACTGCAAAACTCGGTCCACAAGCATGCGGTCCAGGTGAATGGTATCAGAGGTGAGCTCAGTTCGCTTCTTTATCTACTTACGACATTGCTGAAGATAAGGCTCTGACAATATGGATCCAGTCGGCGAGACAAAACGCTCCGAGACAGCCGTCTCCATTTTTAACCTCCAGCCCAGCCATATATACCATATATGTGTAATCGCAATCAGCTCTGCCAATTTCCAAACCTGCAGCTCTGTTCTCCATATCCGCACCGGTCCGGGACCATTCCCTCCCGAACAAGATCTTGAGAACCGTGGACCCCCCCTTATCCAGGCCTACGTGCCCAAGGCTGCTGCAATCGTCTCGCCCTCTGCGCCCGTTATGTCAAGAGAACAGAGTGGAGGTGCAGCGCAAGCCAAACGCTCTGGTGGAGGAAGAAGATCGATTGGATCAACCTTCGTTCAAGACAGCGGCGGTCCGCAAATGCTAGACGATGGGGAGGCTGCAGGAGGCGAGTATGAAGGTTCATTAAAGCAACTAGCTGAACGGCTGAAAGTGCTACAGCAAGAAAATGAGTCCCTGGATAAGCAGCTATGTCAAGAAGAAAAGGAATACGAGCAGCTTCTGCGTGAACTAGAAGACCAGAGAAATGACTTAAAGCAGCGAGTCAAGGAGAAAGATGATGCCACCGGTGATCTGCGGAAACACATCAATAAACTAGAAAGCATCAACCGGACCGTTCAGAATGAAAAGAGCAAACGGGAAAAGCTTCTGCAGCAGAAAGAAGCTGAGCGGAAGAAGCGAAGAGAGGACATCGTTAGGTGGGACGAGAGAGAAAGCGAGATCAAAGACGAGCTCGACAACCTGCAGAAGGAGAAAGCCCGTATAGACGAAGAGTCCACTACCAAGTTAGAAGAGTATCGGCGCAAGATTACAGAGGAGCAAGGAGAAATGAAACAAATCGACGAAGATATCAAGGTCACGGGCAGCCGTATCAAGGCCCTGGAGGAGGAGAGACGGCGTCCTGAAGGAGAAGACAATGAGGAAGGCAGAGAATTGGAACGGGTAGAGAGGGAACCCGAACATTTCTGGGATGGAAAAATGGCAGGCCTCCGTTCCCAGTATGCGTCTCTCATTAACGTACACACTCAGGTAGGTGATTGGGTGATATGCAATTTCAACTTTTTCCACAAAGACATTCACCATTCTAACTCCCCTACTAGGCCCAACCGCAGTACTATGAGGCTCAAGACAGGTTGCAGTGGACAAACTCTCAGTGGGGCAATACCCCCGGGCCATTTGGCCCAATTGCTACTCCCGACCTAGGCCTTAACAGAAGGACAAGCAGCCGTAGGCGTAATCGCCATCGGAGCTCTCTTACTAGCAATATGTCGTCGCCTGTCAGCTTTCCCTTGGTTGATACAGCGTTCTCGAACCCAAACTATGGCCAGGTTGGAACAAACTCGCCGACTTTCACATCCGGCCCTGCTTTTTTCAACATCAATAATGGGATGACCATCCCAGATCCCACAGATGAAACTAGCCCGGTCCGTACTGATATTGAAAATCCACCTATGAGCCCCCGTGCCGATGCATTACTACCTTCTGATCTTCTGGGAGACGAAGAACAGAGTATTGGCGAAGATTCCGAAATCACCCCCTTTCCTACTTCAATACCTACAGTTCCTACTTCAGTGGCTCCCACTGTCCCCTTTGAAGGGTTCCTGCCCAACTCGCCTTCACCGCTCTCATCTGGCAGCGATCCCACAAGTATCTTTGCAAGCCCCCACGGCAGTCTGAATAACCTGCATGACACCGATCGCAATGCAGCTCAAACCACCATACCCGGGGCATCCAAACCCCCTCCTAGTGAAGCTCAGAGCGCATCCCGGAGACTATCGGGACTATTTGGTTTTAATCGCCAGAGGGGTAAGACCATGGCTGATGGACCTCCGCTGCTTGGGAGCCTCAAGTCTGGCCAGAGTCAGTCATTTCCGAGAAACCTGGACGACGAGTTTGACCCCATGGGCACGAGACGCCGTCGTTTGAGCTATACCACAAACTGGGCAAACCCAATGACCACGCTCTTCCCACGTAACAATGCGTCACATCTCACAGGCGACAGCTCATCTGACCGCCTACCTGCTGGAAGACGGGCAATGTTCCCTAGCTTTTTCACCTCCGGGAGACATGGATCTGGTGTTTCCCCTAATCACAACCAGCCCTCACTTAATTCACCAGATGCAAGCAAAGGGTATAATCAATTCAGCCCTCGCCATGATCCGATTGATCCTTCTATCCTTGGAACTGTTCGACGAAATTCCCTATCTCCCCGCCCATCATCAACATACTCGTTTGAAAACGCCCTTCCACGACCGACTATGGAGAATCAGCCGTTTGGATGGCCCTCCTCCGACAAAGCCGGCAGCTCCGGGCATGACTGGATATCTCCGAACGCATGGTCACGGAACCAGTCTCGTCGGCCCTCAATACAAGTAGGCTCAACAGGTCATCTACCCCTCGGTCTACCTACTGAATTAGAGTACGATGAAGCTCCATTTGGGCCCCAGAGGCCAGTCCAAGCTCCCATCGGAACTCGACCTCCATCATCCCATCGCCCCGTTACCCCAAAACTAAACCCTGCCGCACCCTCCTTCACAACATTTTTTGGCAAGAAAGTAGACAGGCCGAAGTCAAAGGATTCGGAGCCTCCGAAGTCCCGTGAGGGTGAATCCACGCATGAAGAGTTGTCACCACCCGCCTCTCGGCGCTCCAAGGACGCTCGATCCATTGGAACAGCCACCACCGAGTCTCACGAATCTCTAGAACTAGTCCCCTCTGCTACTCCGTCCGAGTCAGTCAGCACAAAGGAGTCATTTATTCAGAAACTCACCCGCAAAGGAAGCTCGAGCAAGTTTAACATGCCCTGGAAGGATCGAGCCAGCCTCTTCTCTAAGAAAGGAGACTCACCCGGACAAGGTGAAGTTGACGGTGACGGCACGAGTGAGATGCAGCTGGGTAAGAGTAACGAGAGTGCTATATTACTTAGTGATAAATCTGGAGAGAAATCTAGCAAAGGAAGCCTCGGGTTTGGATTCAGGCGGAAGTCAAAGAAGACGGATAAAGCGCCTAGCGAATCCAGTGGGATAGCGAGCGAAACGGGAGATGAATCAGTATTTGAAGATACATGATATATAGCTTTGTTTTTTTTTTTTTTTTTTTTTTGGAATAGAAATACCGTATCCCTTGACGAATACACAATACTGTTCATAGCTGAACTCCTCGTTCAATATGTATTTTCGTTGCTCGATGAAGCTGTTAAAATTAACTTAACTAGTTAGTTAATAGTTAACTATGACTAAGCCCCGCGCTGATATAAATATTCTTTTGAAGTCACCAATGATGTCCAGATATAGAACCCTATTTACTTATATACGAAGAGTAGATTATCTCTAAATACCCTCCAAAATGGCTAACTCAAAGTACGTCAATGCTATCTACTGGTGTTCCCAGCTAACAACATGAGAGGTATGAGTATGTCAAGAATTTTGAGCAAAGCGACGTGCTTCTGCCAAATACCTGGATTGTGATACGCATTGATGGACGCGGCTTCCACAAGTTAGTTCCCCAAATTCAATTTTAATACCCAGAATACTCCAGTATCTAGTGGTAATCAGGTTTACTGATGCCTTGGGTAGAGCCCCATTGCTAATCACTTGATAGACTCTCGGATAAATATCGCTTTGAGAAACCAAATGATCGCAGAGCACTGGATTTGATGAATTCAGCAGCCCAGGCTGTTATGAAAGATATCCCTGATTTAATCATTGCATATGGTGTGAGTGATGAGTTCAGGTAAGGAGGCGCTTTTATACTGATAGGTATCCATGTCGACATTCTCAACTGACCTGGTCGTTGAAAAAGTTTCGTTTTCCATCGAAACTGTTCGCTATTTGAGCGAAGAAGCAGGTATGCTTCGATTATACCCCTGGAACTAATATCAGAAGACTGACCCCGTTATCTATAGTAAACTGGTGTCGACCATAGTGTCAACCTTTACAGCACATTACACGTATAAATGGATATCGTACTTTCCAGACACACCGTTAGAGCCTAATTTTCTGCCAACATTCGATGGGAGAGCTGTCCAATACCCCAGTATAAAAAATCTAAGAGACTACATGAGCTGGAGACAAGTTGATTGTAAGGCTCAATTTTACTGTCTTGAAAATCACATTGTAGCAAAGCGTACTAATCGACGCAAAGGCCACATCAACAACCTGTACAATACCACATTTTGGAGCATGGTGCTAAAGGGTGGGATGAGAAACCAGGATGCAGAGCAAGAATTGAAGGTAAAATATACTGACTATTCGCTCAATCTTTTGTTCAACCTTTATGGTTCGGAGTTCTTAATGCTGAACGTACATCAACAGGGGACTGTATCATCCGATAAAAATGAGATCCTTTTTTCGAGGTATGGGATCAACTATAACAACGAACCCGAAATATTCAAGAGGGGAGCGTTTTGTTCCGAGATGTGAGTTCCAAGTCATTGGGTAAAACTATTTCTACAACCTGCATGTCTAACGTAGCGGATGTAGTATCAGTTGGAACAAGTTAAGGGTACCTCCAGCGCAAAGGTCATCGACGATGGGGGATGGGAGGACACAAATTTGTCCAGGACCCAGTTATATAAGCAACAGAAACTACGAAGGAAAGCCGACGTAGCGATAGCCCACGTCGATATTATTAAGGATGAGTTCTGGGAACAACGTCCGTGGCTATTATCAAACATACCAGGGAAACTTCCAAATAGCAAACAAAGCCATGAAACCTGAAAATACAGTATTCAATGCAAATGGGATATCTATCTCATCAACGGTTGCTATTTACAAGCATGCGGGGGGCTGGCACTGTATATCGGTCCTCCCTTCTAATTAGTGTACGATAGGTTGCTGGCGCATGAGAAATGCATGATCTCTAAGGGTCATTGGACTTGTGATTAATCTTTACTGCTCCTCTTCAACTTCCTCTCAGCCTTTTTCTCGCGTTCCTCCTTCTCCTTCTTCTTCCCCTGTTTCTCTTCTATTCTAGCCTTCTTAGTAGCTCTTTTTCTGTCCAGTTCTCTCTTCAGAGAATCTTCATCCGATGATTGATCGGATCTTCTCGATTTTGTATGAAGTTCAGTAGCTAGAGTTTCGGCCTGCCGCCTTTTCTTTTTTCTTTTCTCTTCCTTTCCCCTTTTCCTCCCACCTGAGATCTCTTCTCTCATAGACTCCACCGTTTCAATGTAAGGGGTTGGTTCCTTAGGATCCTCCTCTTCTGGTGGGGTGGCAATACCACAGATGGCTAGCCTCCCCTTTTTATCCCGACTCTTTTTCTTCCTTTCTTTCTTTCCCTGAGATGCATCAACGGTAGGTAATGCTTCTACATATTCTCGTTTTCTCTTTTTCTTTTGGTTTGATGTGCCGCGATTGACAGAGCTGGAAGGAGTATCACCATCCGGGGTTGATGATTGTAAGGATTTGCTATATTCATTCGGGTTGATAGTGCCCGCAAGCCCCGGTCCTCGCACGAAGAACTTATAGAGCTCACTCTTTGGAGTTTCGGGAGTAGACCCTCCACTACCAGGCGTCGCATTTCCGTCTGTTCCTATACTTCGCAGTGCTGCCTCGAACCCGTGCAGCCACCATTGGTTTGTGTGATCGTGTGTCGTCTTCTTCCCAATGCCATGTGTATTTTTCTTCCGTGCAACAAGAATCGGTTTTGTTAGACCAAGCCCGCCGTGTGCGCCTAGCCGTCTAGAAGGATTCAGAGGGTTTCCTGGGCCTGACCACCCTTGGTTCATTAGGTAGGCTTGGGGGTCCATTGTAACGACGAAAAGAAATATCGGTGATAGGGAGGACAAGTTTATGTTTCGGGTCGCATTCTTTGATGACAAGAGAAAAGGGTTGTATGGCACCGGCATACGAAGGGTAATTGTGTGATAACTCGAAGCTCAAAATCTTTTGAAGATTAACAACCAACTTTTTGACAACCTTTAGAAAATAAATTATAATCACGTGACAAATTTGATCCACCGAGTGCCTGGTGCGACAAGTTGTGGGTTGAGATTTTTCTATTCGAAATGCGAAATAATTTAAGCTTGATAGTGAAGGAAACGTGGGATCGAGTGTTATTTTTGTTGGATTTTCTTTTAAGATGCTATTGTATGAAGATTCTCTGAATACATCAAGCAAAGCGTAGGAAACCAAATAACTAAGCCACTAGCAAAGCAACACCAACGCCATGCTATATTATGAGGGTGCCCAATAACAATCTAAGGTCCTCAAGTCCTTCCCCCTTTTTTTATTCTTTTTTTGTCAGATGGAGGGCTGTTTGGCATTTGGGGAAGAGACGAAACTCTAGGGTCCTCTGACGGTAAAAAATAATTGTCCAGAAAGACTGAAGGATTAAGGAGGAGAAAAGGGACATACAATTTCAAAAATAACGAATCAGTTAAAAGTGAAATTTTTGGGGTCATTCTGACAAGGGAATTTCAAGGGGATGAAAATGTTTGGTACAAGGCGCCAGATCCGATGAAGAGAGAAAGTAGATTAACCAACTGCACGTTGGATGGGACAACGTAAGCGTTTTTCGGGAGGTTGGGTGAATCGAAGTAAAGATCGAAGTGAAAATCGAAGTATTAGTACACTAGAGGAGTTGTATGAAACAAGAAATAAAGATCTAACCCGTAAAGCTTGCTTTACTGGCGTGGGGATCTTCTAGATAGTAAGTATCATGATTATAATAAAAACAATACCTGTGTGTGGACTTACGTTGGGTTAAAAGTAGGAGATGTTGGGCTATAGCCTGGAGATGTCGGACCACCTGGAGAAGTCGGTGAGCCAGAGAAGTTTGGAGAGGTTGGAGAATATGCTTCCGGGCTGGTGGGAGACCATCCGGGCGATGTTGGGGTATACTTCGGGGAGGTAGGAGAGGTTGGCGAAAGATGTCTGCCAGTACCTCCCAACGCTGGACTGGTTGGGCTGTAACTAGGAGATGTAGGGCTAAAAACAGGCGAGGCCGGACTGAAGCTTGGTGACGTGGGGCTGTAGCTGGGCGATGTAGGGGAGAAACCTGGTGAAGTGGGCGAGTAGGAAGGAGAGGTAGGTGACTGAGCTTGTCCATATCCAGGAGAAGTCGGTGAATAAGCAGGAGAGGTTGGAGCAAATGACGGGCTGGCTGGAGAGAAGGCCGGAGATGAAATGAACCGTGAACTCGTAATGCTCATGCCTGGAGAAGTGGGAGAGTAACCCGACGATGGAGAATATGCTGGGGAAGTTGGACTGGTATTGAAGGGACTGCTGGGAGAGTAGCCTCCTCCAGGACTCCTCGGTTCATGAGGGCTGAATCCACCATAACTTGGTGGCTGGTAATCAGCGAACCCAACAGTATTCTCTGACCCGGCTTGTCTGACAGGTGAAAATTGGGAATCAGGATCAGGGGAGCTGATATACATGTTCTCTTGCATTGGTGAGCCACTGTCGTACTGGGTAGCGGCACCATCAGAAAGCATCCCCTTGGGTTCCTCGCCCATTGCTCCTAAGCCTGCATTGTTGGAAACAACGCCCATAAGCATTGACTGATCAAGATAGACATCAAATTCTCCCGTTCCTGCGGGTGCCATTTGACCAAGGATCAGGTTCTCAGACACGCCTCGGCAGTCGTCCAACTCAGCAAAAGCAGCAGCATCAAGAAGGATTTCAACAGTCTCTTCGAAGGAACACCTCATCAAGGCACCAGTATCTGCACGATTGATACCATGTCGGGTTACAGCCATAAGGAAGCCTCGTGAAGTCATGACATCCACGAGAAGTGCCAAATGTCGATGATTGACGTAAGAACCATCAAAGGCAAGCACCTGTGTCAACTCTCTGAGAAGGGCCGTTCGAGTAGCTTCGATACCAAACACTTCAAGAATCTCAACGAATTGGTTAGAATATGTGCGGCTAGCGTCAATGCCAGGGATTGCCAACACATCTGCAAGGGCGGAACCACTAGTTTCGAGTACCCATTCCTTACATTCAGGGTCACTTGCACTTTGATGGAGCGAGCCATCCTCGAGAACTCTAGTTCGGGATTTTTCGTTAATGAACGCACGGTCAATACCAGGAACACCACGTAGGGTCAGAGTGTCGAGCAAGTGGCTTTCCAATTTCTTGAGGGTAACATCATATTCCGTGTCATCATCATCTTCGTCTTGCTTTGGATCTTGAATTTGACGAATACGGACGACTTGCTCATCGGCGTTGTTGTCACTGAAGATAACAGCTATATCCTGGGGGTATGCTTCCTTAATCTTTGTTGCAACGTCTTGGACGGTAAGACCCTTGTCCAGAAGCTTTGGTCGACTTAGAATGATACGAAGCAACCACTTTGATTGTCGTGATGAATCGTCCGCAACATCCTCCGGAATGATAAAGTATGATTCCACCATATCAATATCGTTTTCAATAACGGTTGACTGGATATTGGGATCGTAGTATATCTCAGTTGACTCTGTTACCGATCGTAAACTAGTATGCTCAACAATGCTTCGCAATTGCTTAGCAGACTCTTTATTCATCCGACACTCTGGCGCTTGATAAACAGTCATAGATGGCGTCTTGATGTTCGTTGCGACATTTAGGATTTCCTTAAGACGAGGCACACCTAGCGTAACGTTCTTTGAGGACACACCAGCAAAATGAAAAGTGTTGAGAGTCATCTGGGTAGCCGGCTCTCCAATTGACTGGGCAGCCAACACACCAACCATCTCACCGGGATTCGCCGCAGCTTTTCCAAATCGACTTTCAATGGCACCGAGAACATGCTGGAAAGCAAGCTTGTTCAGTGAGTATTCCACAACCAAGCGTCTGAACGCAAGACGTGAACGGAGCTGTGCCTTGAACAAAAGAGTTGCGCTTTCCTGAGCTTCACGGGAGAGAGCATCGTCTCCACGGACTACAAGCAAACGATCCAACAGCTGCCTGACTTGTGGAACAACCTCTGCTGGGTGAAGGTCACTAATTGTGCCATCACGAATTCTAAAAGTGGTTTTGGCCGACTCCAAAATTCGCTGGATGTTGATCGGCAGTTGCATCATCTCATCATCTTCCTTGACAACAGTTCGCAAAAAGGCGCGGTCCTTCAACAGTTGTTCCCATTCTTCATCAAGGTGTTTTTGTACCTCAATGTCACCTGCAATCTCTGTCGCCTGCTCGAGGATGTCTGGCGAAAGCAAGCGCTCTGGATCCATGAGGTCAACACGGAACCGGTTTCTAAACTGTTCATCCGAGCATTTAATAACATCAACACGCTGATTTTCGATGCACTGGCCGTCAAGGCCATCTTCACCGTAAAGAAACTGGACGATGTCTCCCAAGGAGTTGCGAACAGTTCCGTCGTACTTAACCATGACCTCTTCCAGTGCCTTGACAAGCTTTCGCTGGATATAACCAGTCTCCGCAGTTTTGACAGCAGTGTCAATCAAACCTTCGCGACCAGCCATAGCGTGGAAGAAGAATTCGGTGGGTGTCAGTCCACGGAGATACGAGTTCTCGACGAATCCACGAGATTCTGGAGAATAATCATCTTTTGTGAAATGTGGCAATGTCCGATATTTAAATCCGAAAGGAATACGCTTTCCTTCAACTGACTGTTGACCGACTACCGCTGTCATCTGAGAAATGTTGATGGTGGAACCTTTAGAGCCAGATCGAGCCATTTGAACCGCGTTGTTCGAGTCCTTCAAGCTCTTTTCCGTCGCAGTACCAGCTTCATCACGAGCATTATTCAGAGCACGGGATACCTTGCTCTCGAAGGTTTCTCGAACGTTCATACCGGGAAGAGCCTCCAGAGTGTTTTCCGTAGCACTGGCGGTAATGGAGTCGACTTCTTCCTTTCTGACACGTACTGCATTTTCGATCTTTTGAATAGTTTCCAGATCAGGAATTGTATCACCAATGCCAATACTGAAACCATTGTGAAGGAGCCAGTAGTTCACAACCGCCTGGGCTCCATTGAAAAAGCTCATAGCAGCATCAGGTCCGTATTCGTTGAAGATTGTATGAACAATTCCACCACCCGAAGCACCAACAGTCTTCTTAGAAAACATTCCATACATCAGTTCACCACCATGGACCAAGACACCTCCATCCGCCAGGGGGGAGAACTTTTCTGAAATGGGAGACTTGTCCTTGTCGATTCGAAGCAAGTTTAAGCCAGATGGAAGAACCATACTAATCATCTGTTTTCCACTCCATCTTGGACGGGGCTTAAGAATTGCAGGTTGAGGAAGAACACCATCCCAGTCCGGAACCCATAAAAGAACGTTCATAACCTGCTCCTTCGTTAAGAATACGTCTCGTCGGCAGATCTTATAAATTCCACAAAGAGTGTCTTGCACAATACCCATAAGTGGACCGTTTCTTTGCGGGGATACGATATTCAAAGGAACCAAACATAGTTGGTTAAGCTCAGCTCGAGCCTCTTCACTTTGAGGGACGTGTAAGTTCATTTCATCTCCATCGAAATCGGCGTTGTACGGGGTCGTGACAGACAAATTCAGTCGGAAAGTGGAATATGGCATAACACGGACACGATGGCTCATCATAGACTCCTTGTGAAGGGACGGTTGACGGTTGAAAAGGATGAAATCGCCATCCATAAGGTGACGCTCAACCTTCCATCCCCATTGCAGGAAATTTCGGCCACCACCACCCTTATGATGCCGAAGATCAATACGTTCACCAGAGCTACGAATGACATAGCGTGCACCTGGATGAACATCTGGACCATTATCGACCAGTTGGCCTAGTCGATGGATGTTGTAAGGTGTGACCACCTCAGGGTATGTCAACGTCTGCGCAATGCTAATAGGAACTCCAACCTCATCAAGAGAGAGATTCGGATCGCCAGTAATGACAGTACGAGCTGAGAAGTCCACACGTTTTCCCATCAGGTTCTGTCGGAGACGACCTTCTTTTCCCTTTAGTCTTCCACGGATGGCCTTAACGGGGCGGTTGGATTTCTGCATTGCTTGGGGAATGCCAGCTATATCATTATCCATGTAAGTTGCGACATGGTATTGCAGCAGAGACTCGAATTCGCGAACCACATGCTCCGGAGAGCCTTCCTGCTCGCACCTGGTAACGTTTTGATTGGCGCGGATAATTTCAGCAAGCTTGTATGTTAAATCATCCTCTCCACGTTGGCCGGTACCACTGCCTCCGACCAAGACACTAGGTCGAACGGGGGGAGGTGGAACAGGTAATACGGTAATAATCATCCACTCGGGTCGGGCGTAATCATTACTCAATCCCATAAGACGAACGTCTTCCTCTGAGATGTTCCTAAAGATTGTAAGGGCCATTTGAGGAGTGATCTGCTTCTTCTCAGGTTGCTGAATTTCGTTATCATCCATCATGTCGCGCATCTTGCTCGGTTTCCATGTACCCATTAGCGTGATTCCTTCTTTTCGAACCTGGGGTTGAACGTTGCCGCAACCACCATGGCCCTGGACAGGTTTTGAGCTCTCTTTGGCAAAAGGGTCATCCTCTTCCGGTGGGTCAGCTTCACAAATAAGTATATCCTTCGACAAGCGCCAAATAGCATCGAAACGTTTCTTCGGATCGCGAAAACGAAGGGCGTCCAGATATTTCTGATCAGACTGAAGATATTCAAAAAAAATAAAATGTCAGCATACTGGCCATATCTATGATTTGCCATCCCACAAGGGATGACTAACCGCATTGGCTTTTATCTTTCCACAATTGTGGCAGACAGTTTCCAACAGCTTCTTAATTTTAGTCAAAAAACCTATACCATAATGTCAGTTTGAAAGATTCAAAAACTTTTCCATGACAAATATTTACCAATATGGAACACCGGAGTAGATAGTTCGATGTGGCCGAAGTGCCCCGGGCAGTCATTAATGCCTTCTTCGCACGTAGCGCATCGCCAGTTGCGATCGATAGTGCCTAGACGAGGATCGTTAAGTCCCTTTTCACGTGGCCGTTGTCGTTGGTCGTCCTAGAGTAAGGAAGAGATACGTTAGTATGAAAAGTAAAGATTTATTGCCTCTGCACGTCCAAACGTGAACTGACCATAGTCTCAGGATACTCGACATGGCACACGCTCATCCGCTTTATCTCCTCAGGTGAGAGGAGACCAAACTGGATCTCTTTAATCGTGCGCAACTGCGCCTTCGAATACGGGAATCTGGCGGAAGACATGGTTGCGGTGGTTTCGCAAGCAGCGGATGTGGTGGTAAAAAATTTTGGTGGGAAGGATAGACTGCGAATGTGAAGAATGTGACAGTCCTGCTCCGGGGTTAAAGACGCGCAAAGGGATCCGTCTCACGTCGAATATCGAGAAGTGGCACTATATTGAGCCTGAAATGACTGCGTATTTGATGAAGCTGATGGCCGTATATGGCCTTTTACCGGCCACTGGCAGACCCTGCCCGAGGGCGCCTTTGGACCTTTTCCTGAGCTGCTGCTACGGCGTGGTTTCCGAGAGCGCAAAAGCGAAGCGACGGGAAGGACGGAGGACAAGGGAGCCAAAAGAAATACCGCGATGCAGAAACGCGATATTCTTAGATGCTTGCGAGCGTTGCAGACGTTCAGCGCTGATGTTTGACGGACGTTGTTCTGAGTCTCGCCTCAGTTGCGCTTGTTGATTGAAGTTCGCTCGAAGTTTTCGCCTCAGGCTGTTCCCAATGTGGTATAGCGGCTGACTCAGCAGATTTCAGTGTTGTGATTGGATAATCAGACGCACGCCGATTCAGGAAGTTTTTGACTTCATTTTCATTCACAGCGACAAAAACACAGAGAGAGAACGAAGAAGAGAAGAACAAGAACACTGTCCTACAACACGGATAAAGGGGAGAGCGGCCCATAGGGTAGCTAAAGGTTTCGACGGGAAAAGGAGGACGATGGTCCAGGGCCAAGGATGACTGATTGCGCGTGCTGCTTACTCTGGGATTCACTGCTTCCCGCACACCATGAATTTGGCCCTTATTGATCCGTTTGCATTGGCGCAGGACTACCCAGATATTTTGACGGGAACTCTTAGTAAGATAATATTCACGTACTACCTTTTTTTGGGCTCGCTTTAGCTCTTTTCTAACTTCTTTTTTTTTTTTTTTTTTGAAGGGAGCGGCCACGCGGCATGTCTGCGGTTCAATCGCAAAGGAGATTTTCTAGCTTCTGGAAGGGTATGGAAGATAACTCTGTTATGGAGAGACGCTTGGGAAAACATGAACTAAAGTCTCTCGTAGGTCGATGGTACCATCGTGATATTCGATGTCGAAACGAACGGTGTCGCGCGCAAATTGCGCGGACACAGCAAACAGATCCAGTCACTAAGGTAGGGTACTATTACCTCCACGAATTCAATGCGCGGGTTACAGGTACAAGTGCTAAATGATACTCTTAACAGTTGGTCCCGAGATGGACGATACCTCTTGAGTTCATCCCAAGATTGGAAATGCGTTTTGTGGGACTTGAAAGATGGCTCACGGATACGGACGGTTCGGTTTGAAGCTCCCGTATATATTGCAGAATTGCATCCATTCAACCAGTACGTCCACACACCAGGCATTTTCCCTTCCCAACGGGATGCATTGCGGAGTAGATACAAGGAACTAAACAGCATTCCATCTTAGTTGGTTATTTGTGGCTTCGTTGTTTGAAGACCAACCAGTCCTCGTCGACGTTTCCTCTCCTCGACCTATCAAGCGTATACTACCCTCAGCACCTCTTCGGCCGCAACCGGAGAATGGAGAAGAAGTCGATCCCGCAGTAGCTGCTAAGCAAGCTGCACAGGATGCAAAACATTCAACTTGCGTTACCGTCTTCACGGCACTTGGCAATCATATTCTGGCTGGCACATCAAAGGGTTGGATCAACATCATCGAAACTCAGACCTGCAAAACAATCCATTCCACCCGTTTATGCAACGGTGTTATAATACTTCTGCGTCTTGCAAGCAATGGACGGGATTTACTTGCGAACAGCTCCGACCGTGTGATACGCACCATTTTAATGCCAGACCTTTCACAGCTTGGCGTTAACCTTGAACCATCTAATATCAAGCTCGACATAGAACACAAATTCCAAGATGTGGTGAACAGGTTAAGCTGGAATCATGTTGCTTTCTCTGCAACGGGTGAATTCGTGACTGCATCCACGTTTATGAACCATGACATCTATGTCTGGGAACGCAGCCACGGCTCACTTGTCAAGATTCTTGAAGGCCCGAAAGAGGAGCTGGGAGTCGTCGAGTGGCACCCAAACAAACCCATGGTGGTAGCCTGTGGGCTAGAGTCTGGCGGTATATATGTATGGTCAATTGTCACGCCACAGAAATGGTCTGCGTTAGCGCCTGATTTTCAGGAAGTCGAGGAAAATGTTGAATACGTTGAGAGGGAAGATGAATACGATATCCATCCTGCTGAACAGGTTCATCAGCGCCGGCTTGATCTCGAAGATGAGACCCCCGACGTGCTTACTATTGAACCCGTCAAGGGAGAAACCAGTGATGATGGACATGAGATGTTCCGCATGCCTGTCCTCTTGGACATATCAGATAGCGAGAGCGAAGAGGATATCATTGCAGTGGGGCCTGGAACAATGAGAAGACGCAGCCCTGGCTCCGGACGTGAGTGGATGAATAATAACAGCGGCAACAATGCAGCTGCGTCCGCTACCGCCGGTGGCGACGTTTACGATTCTGATGGTAGAAGACAGGCGATGTTGAATGGCATTGGCAGAGCGCAGAATAAAGGACGCCGGAGATAACCTTAACCAACCTTTTAAAAAATTGGAATTGGAAAAAAGAAAAGCAAAATATAAAATGGAAAAATATAACTCGATCAGATAATAGTCGACTAACTGATCATCGCAAGTTAACAACTTTATCCAGCACGCTTGTAATCGATAAACAACGCCATCTGTGCCCCGTTTTTATTTCTCTCTGGGCTTCTCACGACGTCATATCAGCGGCACGCCTTACGATAGGGATGCACTGGACTAGCTATGACGAAACGTCTCCTCCAGCCTCGCTACTTTTTCCCCTCTGTGGGATGATTCTCTAGGCTAGGTCGAAAGGTAATGCTCTGTGGGCATCCCCAATGCAGCCAATCGTAACTACATACTTATGGAGTACGTCTAGACATGCCCGTCCATTTACTGCATGCCTGCACGAGTACCAGGATGGCCTCAGCTTATCCAAAACTGCCCAATATCTTGCGCCACGTCTCCAGAGCGTCAATAATGAATATCAGGGTCGACCCCACGCAAAGATTTGTATATCTTCCGGGTATGATGCAAGCGAGCATCTGACATGAAACAATGAAGCAGGAACCCCTTTTCTTGTCCCACGAATCAGCGTTTCTTTCGAGGAGACAACAAGTTCAATTTTTAACCATGTTCTCCCTTATATGTATACGAGATCAAGGGCTCTTCTGGTTGACAAATGAACGTGGAGACAGCGTCATGCATGGGTGGATTTCATGCACCTGCTTTTAGTCACTGTCGATGACCCTTGTCTCCAACCCCAATGGTAGGTTGCAGGGAATTCTGCAGGTATTTATAATTATGACAAACGAGAAGTTAACCGACCCCTTTCCTTTCCTTTCAGCTAGCCCTACTCCATACCAAGGAAGAGAGGATGCCACTGCTTCAGCTAGTCGTTGTCACATACACGCTCAACTGGAAGGGAAGGCTGTAATTTTGTGCCATCCAGCCTGCTTGGTAATTTCACGGCCTTTGTTGCATAGGGAGGAGTTGAGTGTGTGAGGCACGTCGGCAAGTAAGTGATAATCAGCCACTAGAGAGTATTTAATTTAGGTTGTAGATGCTCCATGTTGTCACACGAAGATTGCATCTCAACTTAGCATTTAGCTCCTCTCCAGGGTTTTTTCCAAAAGAAATATAATCATCGGTTACCGTGAACGCATGGCGACTAGGAGCCCAGTTAAAATATCAGAACATGTTTAATACGGAGATATCTCCGCCCAATCTATGGGGAAGCAAACACGAAGTTGACCTCCTTCGGAGCTCCAGTCTCGGGACGTAAGAGAATCAAGTGCCTTTGCCAATGATATTATTTTGAAGTTACAGGGGCAACAGACTCCCCATGTGTACGGAGTACATTGTCACGATATCTCGTATATACAGGAAACTGACTCCATTTTTGGAGAGTTTTACGAGATGTTACAGAGTTAAATTATATTTCATGACGGACACTCCGTACCTTGGTCGTATCATGAGGAAATACAAGGGCTTGTCATTAACTATGCAGTGTGTTTTTGTATTTTAAGTAGCACATAAGTGAGGCTCACCCGCAGCAAAACTAGTGAAATCTTAATTAGTTAGCTGGTTATTTAGGGGGTAACTAGTTAATTGTTATCGAGTATACTCCAATGTCAAGCTAATTAGCTACAATAATGACTCCTTAAGCACCCTTACGCTGGAGTAAGAAGCGGGAAATGCGCCCAAACAACATCTGCTAATTTGATACTGTTGCAACTTCCTTTTCACTGGCAACGTCCATGGCAGAAAGTACATGTAGTATATATGCAAACTAATGCCGGTTGATGCCCGGGAGCTAGAGAATATAGGGCCCAATAAATGCACCGCAAACGATAGACGTAACATCTATGACCCTATCGAACTGTATAGCGAGCCTACTAGTATTGATAACCGAGACAGAATGAAAACAGCAAAGAACGATGACGGGGAATTTTAATGCAACCCTCTATATAAAACAGAGTACAAAGGCATATCATAACCATCATAGCAAGGGAAAAGGAGACAATCAAGGAAAAGAACAAGGTAACTAACCACTCGTTATCGTAGCAATAGATCATCACCATGAATCGTCATCCTGAGGAATGACCATGAAACAGAGCATACTCCTCCCTATATAACTAACTCCGGCGTGCTCTGCCAGCCCGAGGAAAATATAACAAAGAAACGATAACTAACCGAGTTATGGGATGCAAGACGTCCGCACAAACTTTTCCCAGCCATTCGTAGATCCGTCTCCTCTTTACCTTTTTACCCTTTACCATTCCGCCGGGACAGGACAACGCTTGATAAGAAATTAAAAAAAAAAAAAAAAAAAAAAAAAAAGCCATCAGACATGCAAGCAAGGGTTGAAGCGAGGAGAATACATAAAAATATTCAAGAAAAAGAAAAGGAGCCGTTTCCCGACTGTCCAATGATAGGGAAACATAACAACTTCAGAGCCATAAAAGTTGGGAGGCAAGTGAGGGAACCGCAAGACCCGAGGAAAAGGAAACAAACAGAAATTCTGGCAGAGACGAACTGGTGGAGAGAAGCCGCTGCATTTAAGCTGGAAAAATATGTAGCGTTCCCCCTGATCCATCCCTCTTGCCGTTTCTGCTTCGTCGCATATGTCAACCCTGTGGAAAATTTCCTGAGAAGAGGAATGACTGGCCAAGATGCGACGTGGTCGTGCATATATAATGGGTATATTCTACCCTTGTCCTGACAGCCGGTGACCCAAGCATCGAAATACATTTGACGAAGATGTTCCCCCGGCAGTCGATTTCCTTCTGAACTGTTCTCCCTCTTTTCTTTCCTTTTTCTCTCCAGCTCAATTTGCCAGCAGTGAATTTTTCCACCTTTCTGTCCCCGAGGCTATCCCTCCCTCCAGGCCAAACCAAAATCCTGGGATTCCTATCATTTACATTCCATCATTTCCGGCAATCCTCCCAGCATGTCCATACTTTCCTTTCCTCCAAATAGTTGGGCTTTTAGTTTCCTCGACAGTCATCTGTGAACGGATGGAAATGTGCTCGAGATATCGGAATTTCACAACACTCAGGAATGTGAAATGCGAATCTGTATATGGAAGGTATACAGGGTAACCACAACGTCCTCTGCGTATCGGCATTCGGTTCAGCATTTCGACGGATTTATCGATCCATTTGGATGTCAAATTCTTCTCCCCATGCGACGACACCGGCAGGTACTTGATCCGATCCCTAGTGAAGTGTCACTGTACAGGGGTAGGGGGAGGAGGAAAAGGGAGGAACATGGCTAGCTGCGCGATATAAACTCAGCAAAATCACAATGCTCGTTTAAAGATGTCACGGCCATCAATCAAAGGTGGTTCGTGTGATTCAAGCGTGCAGAGGGAAATACCCTATTTCTCCTTCCGGTTCCTTTCGCTATCCGCCTTTCCCATGTTTCCGTCTATCGCTTCCACCTCCTTTTCATTCATTCGTTCTTCCCCAAAATTCGCTCTTCCTTCAAAATCATACTTCTGTCGTCCTGTATTGTTTGTCCTGCAGGAAGTAACTGCCGGCAACCAATGGTCCAGTGGCAATTTGGTTCTTTGGTTCTTATAGTCACCCATTAATGGGTTGCTAACGGCTTTTGCTAATCAGATAGCAATGATGAACAATAGCCCGGAAAAGTTACGGACCAGTTACACTTAAGGGACAAGAAAAATGGGGTACTCAGATTCTAGCAGACGCTGGGCGCATCCGACAAAGAAACCCAAATTTTGAGTTGTCTCACCTTGGTTTCCGCGCCGTGTAAACCTGGAGATGATTCCACGCCTGGACATTTTTGTCATAGGCCTGAGTGATTGCTTGATCAGCCAAGTCCTGGATGCGATCAAGAGACATTCCACTTATTCGAGTAAGCGGTCCTTGCAAGAGCGTCAGTGCACTCTCTGAGAATGCGAGATTGTACCACTTTCCCACCAACTTGTCAGACGGGTCTTCTGGCCACTCGTTGAGTGGCAATCCCTCCACATGTTGCCTGACATCAACAAATCCAGCCTCCTTCAGGGTGTGTTTCATGCTGCGATTGAAAGCAATTGGCCGCATAGCCTTATCTGTGGCAGCCTTCAGTTGCTGGTACCATTCCGAGAGATGTTCGTTTGGCATGCCATTGACGGTAAACGGCTCGAAGTCAATTTCGACCTGTTCGAAATAACCGGTTCCAGGTTTCAAGTGCGCAAAGACCTTGCTGTACAAGTTGGGCCAGTTCGAAACACTCCCGCAACCCATCTGAAGATGAATAAAATCCCAGGAATTCTCGCCTAGAAGCCAGGGGCTCTCAAAGTCCCGTGGAGATTGGAATTCACAATTAGGAGGTCGATTGGTGGGTTGCATAGGAGCTAGGTCGATTCCAAGCACATATGCGTGAGGATATTTTTTTGCTATGTCGATTGCCCAGATACCTATCATATTTGCCAAGCGAAGCACAAAATATAGGTCAGACCAGATTCTGCCCTCAAGACGAAAATGAAAACGGGTTTGTGTAATAAGAGACAGATATTAAAAACAAGTGCGAGACCAGTCCCAAAAAAAGGGTACATTGGCCGCACGCATTCCGGGTTCCAGAAAGCGGTTGAGAACAATGACAAAAAGGAGAAGGAAAGGCAAATGTGAGAAAGAGACTAAACTGAGGAAATTTCAGTACCTGTTCCGCAGCCTAGATCGAGTATCCGAGGCCCCTGATCATGGATTGAAGTGGGATTGCGCATTATGCTTGGGGGAATCTTGATGTTCGGGCTATGCAGTATCTCCTTGCGGGCCACGCAGAGCACCCGGTGGAAGAGGTCCAACCGATCCTGCTCATTCTCGTCGCAAGGATACATGTACATTCCTCTTCGAAAGCCATGGTATAGCCTCCCGTTTTCCTCGTAGCTCGGGTATGTGTCGATCTGGCTGCATCTGGGTCAGCAACAGGACCAGGGAAATAGGGGGAGGAGCGTGGGTGCTGATGATAGTGGTTCAGGGCACAGGCTCTCGGGCCTCGAAATTGAACTGCACAACCCATGACAGCAAAAGGCATTACATGAATTTGGAGGCCATGGAAAGAGGATATCGCAATCTCCGTCTTATACCAAGCAGAAATGAAAACCACAGCAGCAGCAGCAGAAGAGAAGCTGGACTTGATACTCACACGTGATTGCCTAGTGCCCCGCTGTCCATATCAACATCTTCATCCTGATGCTGCTGTCTCCCTTGACCGGACGACCTGGGAGACTTGCCAGTCACAACGGAAATGTCCATTTATACGGACCGGTGGTGATCGAGGCTGTTTGCGCGCGCGGACGAGCTATCTTGCTGGGTGGGGTCGGTCGTTGAAGAACCGACCCTCGATCCAGAGACCACCAGGGGAGAAACCGTACAATCCATGATGGAGGCCGCTTGCACAAAAGTACAGGAGAAAAGGAGGAAGAAGAACAACAACGACGCCGTAGGGTCTGCTCTGGACGCAGGCTCGTGGTAGAGACGAATTCGCTTGGAAGAAGGCCGTGGATTGAGCGGGAGTCGCGGTTTTTTTGACTGGAGTTGAAGATTTGAAGAATTCCTGAAGAATCAACAAGGAAAAGAAAATAGAACAAACAGGTAAGCCCAAAGACACCCAAGAAGTAATAAAAAATAAGAAAAAGATTTAAAAATATAAGAATAAAAAATAAAAGAAATAAAAAAGCCCACAATACAAGTCAGCTGACGATTAATACAGCTCTGCGATGATAAACTCCGGCTCGCTCTGGGGTGGGAAGAGACGAGAGCCAGATAGAAGCAGAGAGAGGCCTTTTACCTCTGCTGTCTCGTTTCTTTTTTGTCTGCTGGGCGGCCGGGATGGCGAGGATGGAGCTGGCCTGGCGTGGAGGCTGAAGACGAGAGAGGCGGATGACGGACGGGGATTTGAAGATTTGGTCTGATTGAAAGATTCCGGGCGGACTCTTCTAGTCTCTGGTGGCTGCCAGTCCTTCTAGTCCTTCAGGTTCTCCTGGATTCTGTGATGAGAAGGTGGATAGGCGATATCGAAGAGGATCGGAAGTATATACATACGTATATATATATATATATACAGACACACATATATATAAATATACTATGTAGATGCTGAAGACATATATAGAGTTGTATATCAGGGCAGCAAGCAATTGATTGGGCAGCCAGGATGAAAAAGCCGGGAGCTTTTTGTTATTTTTTGCACTTTTCTGGTTCCCTGCTGGGGTGGAAGGGGATGATGTATTTTTTCCCTCTCTTCTCGTTCGTTTGAAAAATTATGCCGATTATTTTTTATTTTTTCTTTCCTTTCCTTTTACCCTTATTGTGTTTTTTGTTTTTCCGTTTCTTGTTTGACCTCTAAGAGGGCTAAGGTTGACGGACAGAACATGCAGAAACCGAAACCTTCGATCCGAAAAGTGGGTGAGAAATGACACTACTAGATGTGGAGGCCGGAAAAAGGAAAGAGGGAGAAACCGGGAAACGCAAGACGTAAGTAAGACTGAAGAGTCCTGGGATTGGGAAGGGAAGCCAGTGCTGGAAAGGGGTGTTTGGGAGGATGATTGGGGCCGACTGGATGGAAGTCGTTGAAAAGGGGGTGAGTATGCCGGGTCTGCTGGACGCAAAGAACGGGTTGGACCTAAAAACGGCGGGAGAAAAGGAGATATAAGTATCAGCCAGAATGCCTTGAAACGACTCTGGATGGGAGATGTTTAAAAAAGAACCGAACGAGCGAAAAGAAAAGAAGGCGAAGAGACAGAAAAAGAAACGAGAAGAGAAGATGCTTACACTTTTTGATACCGCGTATGGTAAGCCCATCAACGGGGGACCTGGTAAAAGGGTAACGTCAACAGAGTTAACAAAAGCTAAGCTGGGAAAAAGGTGAGAGGAAGCAGAAATACGCAAAGAAAAGAAACGAGAGTCATCCTGTTCCCAACCTTATCAGAGCAAGCAGCTATATTAGCCTCAGACATCCGGGAACGAGTTTGGGCCAGAAAAGGGTGAAGCGGCGGAGATGACAAAAAAAAGGGTTGGATGAGAAGCGGCTGGGGACAACAAGGGGGGCGTCGTCTCGATGAGATTTATGCTGGCTGCTGCCTCTGCTTCCCTCTTACGCTTTTTATTTTTAACAAGAACTAAATCTTATTGATGTTTGGCAGGCAGGGATGCCTTGGGGAAGCACAGATTGATCTTCGCTAGGTAGTTGATTATTTTTTTTCACTTTCGTTTTTCCCTTCAATTCTAGTTATTTTCCAGCTCCCTCCGTCCTGTGCGGCTTTTCCTCTTGTGCATGGTCGGTTGACAAAGTGTATGGAGTATGGAGTACATAGCTCAGTCTTCACTGTTGCGGCGCATCCTGAGGAAACCATACTACTCTTCACGAGCCTGGGCATGGGTGGCTGAGGCTCGCTGCCTGAGCATCGATATGCATACACTTATGCCTTTCGAGCACGGCGTACGATGTAGCAGGGTCTCCACCACATGGTTCAACAACTGACGGCCAATCGATCGATATACAGGCCACACAGAAGTGATCGGTCCTACTCTCACAGACACGAACATAGTAGTATCGTCAGAATAATATATATTCTGTATCATGATGTTAATATACCGACTTTCAAAGCGGGTCTTTCTTTTCTTCTTTTCCGGGCGCCTCAAAGTATGTGCAGCTTCATCTGTGCTCCCGTTTAGTTAGTTAACTCGTACTAAGATGGGCTCTCCCTTCATCCTTTTTCCCAGTCCCGTGGGACGAGGCACAAGCCTCGGGACGACGTGGCGAGGGAGCTGAGCAACAGGGAGCATTCTGCTCTGGATCTTTAGTTGGGAGAGATCCTCATTGTCTGACGTGTTACCCCGTCTGGGAATCTCAAGAGGAGACTGACTAGGGTCACAAGAGATATGTTAGAAGATCGTGGCAGAGATAACGCCGTTCAGACTTGGACAGCCATTTTTGATTGTGGACGTGACGTTCAAGGGGGGGCGCTTGTCGAGGGACGGGGACCTTGCATAAAAATGCTTACCAGGCACAGCAACCGGAAGTCTGATTCTGCTTTCGTGCCTGACAGATGGGTTAGTTATGTTAGTTGGTTTATCTCCCTGGGATCCAGGATGATAAAAAAAATAATAAAATAAAAGCCCTCGGCCGCCGTGAGGTCAAAGAAAAATGCAAATAAATAAATAAATAAAAATAAAAACTTGTCTCGGGATATTCCAGCCTTTCACATGCCGAGCTTTCTCGTGGCGGCTGCAAGGAAAGAAAGCGCTGTTAAAACGATCCCGGAGAAGTGGTCGTTGGTGGGAGAGAGAGCCATATATTAGGCGGAGTTGCATGCTGTGTCGGGAATTACCAATAAATCCATCCCCTTCCCCAAACCAGCAAGGGAGAAAAAAAAAAATTCGGCTAGGCCGCTGAGGAGACTGTTTATCGAATGCTAATAATACTTAACATAGGGAATGACGCCAACGAGTTAGCTGGTTTTGTTGTAAATGTATTACGGAGTGTGCAGGGGTATGACATTACCGCTGGAGCCTTCATGAAATACGGGCAATTACCTGCAGAAATATGGGAGTCGATCAGTTTCATGCGTTTGGATGTTGATGCCGAGCGAAGAAGAAAAACTGGCACGGCAAGTCTCGCGGTCCCACGACAGGAAACACGCAGGAAATAGGGCTGCTAATGACTGGCTGTCCTCTAAGCGCTTTGTATGCACGCATGTCTGTACTCTGTCGATAGTGGAAGAAACAAATATATATGCAAGGTCGACAGGCGCTTATCTGGAAAGGCGAGACAGCAATATGGCCAATCGAAGACCCAGCGAACAGATGCACAATAATAACAAAAAGGAAGAGCAGGATAGAATAAAGTCCAATCGAGTGGTTGTTGTGTGCGCTGCGCCGCTTCCTGTTCATATGGGATAACGGCGAGCCGCCGAGAATGAAATATTATCTAGTGGCTATCTGGCCTTTGTTTTTTCGGGAGATATTTCCCTCTCCCACATAAGTGACTATCCCCACGATGCCAGGGGGTGGAAGGATGAGAGTGTGCCTGAGTCACTTTTCTTTGCGTCTTTGCTCTTCTTTCCTAATCCTTGGTGGTCGTTTTTGTTAAGTCTCTTTTAAGACGACACCATCATACATCATCGACCTGTGTGGACCCATGGGGGTGTGGTGTTTGGCATGGATCAGGGTTACAGCCAAACGATTTGCTGGGAGCAGCCGCTTGCCCGTCACACTAGCATCCAGTTTAAGTAGCTGCAATCGGCGGTGAGGATAGAGAGCAATGGCTTCTGGTTGGAGCATGGCAAGACATTATGATGTTCTGCGCTGTTCTGCCTATCCCGAGTCATACATCATCCCATTTCTCGGGCCCTCCTGGAACACGAAGATGCGATGCTATGACAAGAGATGACACAAAAGGTCGAGAATGAGAACGGCTATCCTTGCTGACACTGGCACCCCCATTCCCTTCTTTTTCTTGCCTCTTTGTGTATGTTCTTTCTCGGCCCTAGCCGACACCTAGCCAAACCAGATAGTCATCAGCTGGGCCCATGGTAAGGTTCGGTTTGGCGGAATCATACCATGGTTCATCACAAGCCGCCGCCCAGTGGAGCCTTGCCGGAAGTCTAATACAAAATTAAGTGACAATTAGCTGGCTCTGAAAATCCAGCTAATTAGCCAACTTAGGCATTTGCCAATAAAGGGGGAAGGTCGGACTTGTTGTTCTCCCCAGCGCATTGAATATTGTTTGACGAAAGACCGAGGAGAGGGGAGAAAGAGAGTAAAAAACAAACTCCTTAGAAAAAAGGAACGAAAAGAAAAGAAAAGAACATAAATGATCTCCTCTTCTCCACCTGCATGCGAGCATACTTGGCGCAGCGTCAACTGGGGGGAGAGAGAGGGGTTCTGATATTAAAATGTCATTGTATTGATGCTGGGGGGCTTGCAGAACGTGCATCCAGAGGGAACCAACCCCCTGGCTTTGCAGCCTGGACATGCACACTTTGCTGGTTGTTGAGCATGCGCATCTATCACGGTTCCATGCGGGTAGGGAGGTGGAGTCTGGCTGCATTGATGAGTTGTAGCTAGTAGCCCATCAAGGCAAGTCGACAGACTAGAAGGTGGAAAAGGGAAAAAGGACGGGAGACCACTGGACGATTATTCTTGGCTTTGGCTTTGAATGGAGTTGTCTCTGTAGAATGGCATTAAATAATAGAATCCAACATTTTGGCATGTCGAAGGGAGCCTCCCGGTTGGCAGAAGAGTTGGCTAGCATCTAGACTTCTTGAGTTGCAACGGTGGAATGTTCCGTAATAAGTGTCTGAGTCCTTCTCCTGAATCTCTTTGTCAAGCACGCATAAAGATTGGGTGCTTGGGATTATAGGTTGGTTTGCCTGACTCGCCGATATGAACTGGGCATGTATCTATGGCTGACTCGACATAACTATTTGACTGCCCTGTACGCAGCCAATTGACCTCACCGGAAATAAGGTGCAAAGGTGTTTAATATACGGTGTACTGAGGGAGGCTGGCAGGGATGCTCGCCCATGTCTAGCTTGCCCAGTATTAGTATCTCGCACAGAGAATAGCGAAAATTTACACACTTATCCCGTACAACGTCGTCGGTTCCAACTCCTTGCCAGAGCAAACTAAGAAGATGCGGTTAACGGGAACTATCGCGGTCCACCTCCCCGAGTGACCTCATAGCCATGAATATTCCTTTCAAGGTGTGATGCCGTTCGTCGTTTTTTTTCTCTTGTCTCTCCTGTCGCCCTGCCCCATACGAAGTGCATTAGTCCGTACACACGGATAAATGCATGGTGCCAGATCAGGTCGCATCAAGAAAATGCTCTCAACTGAGCTTCTCATCAAATCGATATGCCCTGAGTGTAAATGCATGAAAGTCTCCCTCCAACGAGGGTTTATCGCCACTTGGGGCGAGCGATAGATCAGCCCAGAAAGAAATTCAGGCACCAGTTTATTTTGCAGTTGGATTTCTATTTGCAGCTTTGCCCCCCTTCTTTATTTTCACCATGTCGTAGTAATGATATTTTTTTTTTTTATCTCATTTTGACCAAGCTTTAACCGCCTTGATAACATGCGGCGCAGCAACGGGCAAGCAAGAAGGGATGCGAACCACAGTATGTGGTTCAAGGCGTCGTCAGGCGGGTTGACAACGGAGAGGGGTGTTACTATTGCTTCTGCTACTGGTCCTCTTTCAGTTTATCTTGGAAAATGTCGCATTGAATAGTTGCTGGTGGGACAAGAGCCAGCTTCAGTAGTGGTGAGCTAAGTCTTATTAATGCGATCTATCAGAACAATTGTAGCCAATGGAATCTGTTCAGGTTGGGCCGGGCAGGACGTGAATGAGATATTCTCCGAGCATGAAGGCTATTAGGACCGGAAGAGTCAAAGAGGGTCCGTACCGTGGGGGCAAGGGGAGATCCTCGGGGGCCTGCAGTCGTTCGTTCGCTCAATCCTTGGTTCTTTTGACCTAACAGCTGAGCCTTCAGGTAGAAGTGATGACACCTGGTTGGCATTGTCGGCCAAATGGAACCCTACATGTTACCAGTGCGCTCATTTCGTTTTACCTGTAGGTCAATCAACTTCTCCATCTCACATAGCCATTTCTTCTCAAACTGCTCTCCAGAGAATCTTCGCGCAGATTTCCTCGCTCTTAACCTCATAGCAAGCTTCTCTGATTCTGGTAGAGCTAATGCAGCTTCAAACGCAGCAGCGAACTCATCTTCGGTCGTAGCATGAAAACCGGTGGCTCCTTCGTCGTCCAGGTCTACGACAATATCACGCCTTGGTCCACCTGAGTTATGAACAATGCTGATTAGGCCAGCAGCCTGGTACTCTACCACCCCGATACCAAAGTGCTCGTTCCACATAGCATTAACGCCAATAGACGCTTTTCTAAGGTTTTCTATGACAGTTGGCCAATTGGCGTCACAGAGGAAAGTGGTGTTGTCACGAATCCGTAATTCGTGGGCCAAGAGGCGAAGATTGTATATATGCGTTTCATCCGAGGTCTGGTGGCGGACTGAGCCGATAAGAATGAGCTGAGGCGAACCGGCGCGGCGGCCGCCATCAACGCTAGCTTTGGGGTCTGTGGCATTTTGGCTCTCAGCTGTAGCGTTGTATTGCTTCAAAAACCGCGCAAACGCGTGCAAGATAAGTGAATGATTCTTCTCAGGGCGAAACTGAGCTATGTAGACAATGGCGGGCTGTCGGACTTGTTGCTCACTCCTGAGGTCAATTTTTATTGACTCTAGTTCGGATACCGCAACAGGGGGAAAGACTACACTGGGAGTTTGGTATTGATTCCCTCGCCTTCGCCTTGAAGGTAGCCAAAGACGTTGGATGTGCTCAGATGTCCAGGTTGAATTGCACATAACAACGTCAATTGTAGATCCTACCAAGCCGTATAGTCGCGCGAACAAGCGCCAATAATGTTTTTTGATGGCTCCTTTCCAACCTTTCCCCGCCCCTGAATTCAGGCCTTTGGAACCTGATGCGTCGTCTAGGGACTCTAACATGTCAGTTGAAATGGTAGGGTAATGCACATACGAACCCGTGGGGACTTTGGGAAAAAGATAATGAGATAATGCTGAAGCAAAAGCATAACCCATTGTATCAATAAATATATCAGGAACGAGGAGGGTAAAGGCATCGTGTGCAAGAATCAGGGAGCCTATCGATTGCCCAAGAAGAGTAAAATGAGGCCATGTGCTACTTAACACGTATCTTCGCATAGATAGGTATAGGAACACGACTGTGGGCGGATGTAGCTGAATATTGAACCGTCTCTATTGACCTGTAAGCTGATTGATCGTATGCTCACCAAAGAGTGTAGACAGCCCACCTCTATGTTTTTCAACATTGTAGCTTTGTCCACATCATGGTCGCCCGTGTATACAGCGCAAATAGCCTTCGGCCACCTTTTTTGAGTAGCAGCTATAGCTGCCCAGAGGACTCTTTCACCGCCTCCTCCGGCGTTGCTGTGTGGTGGGTGTCAGCAACTTTCATATGATCTCTGAAGATGCGGGGGAAGCTTGCGTATCTCACCAGAACGGATGAAAAAACCCTACAATCCCAGCCCAGTCACTGCAGTTTCTTCCATTACTGCTAGATGCCGATGAGCTCTGTCCGTTATCTCCTCCATCTTTGTCAACGGTCTCCCAATCTTCCTCTTCCACCTTCAAGCCAGCGGTTTGTCTGGCTCTCCGCGACCTGTAATCTTCCTCCTCGACACGCACACGAGCTCGTATCAGTGCCCTTCTCGCCTCCGATTTCTTCTGATTGAGATATCCTAGCCAATGAAGGGCTGACCGCACGATATAGCCGGGTAAGGAGGGTGTAAAAAGGACTAAGGAGACCAATGCCACCACGACTGCAACTGCTGCTGCCACGGGGGAGAGCATTGTAACGCAAAGTATGCAGACTCAGCTGGATGCTAGGAACAATAACCACCTTCAACTGTCAATCCATATCCAAACCATTAAAATATAGGAATGATAAGCGAGCTGCCTCCACCAGTATAGCTTTTCTATACAGACTTAACTTGGATTCCCTAGGTACTAATGGAGGGATACTTGTTACTTGTTCTAGTCGCCTTATCGGACTTGGATGACTCAGCAAGCGGCTGCCTGTCGGATAAATAGTATTTCCGCAAAGCTGAGGTCGGCCCGGTCGGGTTCTTGCCTAGATAGGTAAATTTGCATTGTTTGTCTTGAAGAGCTTCCAACCAACCGGAAAAGGACACCACGACACGGCTCGCTCGACCATCCCAATTACATCGAAATGGATGCATTGCGTGCCGGCTTATAGAGGGTTCGATTGCAGATCCTCGTTCGTTTATTATCTGTTATCTTTTTTAGTCCTATAAGATGTCACTCATGCGGCCTCGTCTTGGTTTTCCAGCGTTACGCTCATTCAGATGCGGCCGAGTTTCAATTGCAGCACCGTCGAGGCGGAATTTCCACGCGTCAAATCCAAATCGAATTATAGACTCATCTATTCTTGTTGCCCATGATGTTATCCAGGGATTCCATTCCATCACTGGCCTACCTTGGGTGCTCTCAATTCCACTTACGGCTATTACTGTACGGTGCTGTGTCGCTTTGCCGCTTCAAATCTGGTCAATTCTAAAAACTCGGCAATTGCAAAGGCTGAACCCACTTCTCCTTACTTGGAGCAGAGTCTGTCAAAAAAAGGCCATGGACGAAGCAATCATGAAAGGACGACACCTTTTCCCCAAAACAATAGAGGCTTCCTGGCAGCAAGACTTCAAGCTGAAGAGGAAGGAGCTTTATAAGAGGTGGAAGATTCGTCCCTGGGCAAGCTATGCGAGTATTTTGCAACTTCCCGTATGGCTTGCTATGATGGAGAGCTTAAGAAGAATGGTTGGGATGTCGGGAGGCCTTCTATCTATCATTCAATCGTGGATCGAATCTAAAGTGGACGGAGCCCGAATTATCGAGGTTGAACCGTCCATGGCAATAGAAGGCGCATTGTGGTTTCCCGACCTCCTCATAGGTGATCCTACACATGCGCTCCCCGTCATTCTTGCGGCCACAATGTTCACCAATGTTACTTGGGGCTGGAAGGTCAAATCTGCGGCCGAAATCTCTAAGCTGCAGCGAAGTGAAGCAATTCGAGAAAGGGCATTCAAGATACTGAAGCGGGTTTTACAGGGTCTGTCTATATGGCTGGCGCCGGTTATGATATATTCCCAAGCCCCAGCGGGCCTGTTGATATACTGGATCTCGAGTTCAACCTTTGCAACTGCGCAGACACAAATAGTGCGCAGAGTTATGCAAACCAAGGCACCACCAGCGCCTTGCCGTGAAAAGAGTGTAGGGAGCATCCATGATAAGACCTCTACGGCATTCAAATGAAACCAAAAAACGTCAATACGTACTTTGTCATACACTCGAAAGGTAATTTTTTGGTTGCTATGCCAGGCCATGGGGTGCTCAAAGATTTGACCACTAACCGTCCAAGTTGCCTGCAAAGAGGGTAAGAGTCGGGAAAATATTATGACCATCAACGCCGGTGACTGCTCCTGGATGAGAGGCGTATTGAATCATCAATCATTTCAAAGGGGGATCGGTAATGTACCAGATGCATCACAGGGGGCTATTTCATCTCTGATTCGCCTGAACTTAATGCCTGTATAATTTGCCGCCCTTGGAGTGGGTAAGGTGATGCTAATATGAAGATTTTTAATCCCCATAAATAATACTGCTGGGCTGTTGAGCTCAGCTGCTGCAGAACTATCAAGATATCATCTTGTCATATTCAATATGATATATATCTTTTGCTTTACAAGGCAGATTTGGATATCGGACTTCGCCAAATATGGAATACCTGGCGTTACGCGGCCACTAGCCACTTTCAAGTTAGATATGATATTCTATGGAATGAAAGTATGTAGCTGAACCATCATGCGAAGTGTTGAGCGAATAGTAACGATACGGGATTTTCAGGGGCCGCTCAAACAAGAAACATTAAGAGTCCAAATATAAAAACCGGATATCAGAAACTTGTGAAGACTCCACACCAGATATACGACATGTATGATATGCCAAAAATACAGGCCTAGAAAGGCATATAGAATTCAGAAAACATTATAGCTTTGGGGGTATCTTGTGTATTGAAGCACTGGCGTCCTGGTTCACGTTGACTGAGCCGTTGTTTTCACCTTCACCGAAGAAGATCACTTCAACTGTAAGGTCATCACTAAATTTAACATGTTAGCATTTGTCAGTTAACTGAAACAAAATTAAAACATACCGGTATCTTCGCGCGTACGGACTGGGAAGGGTAAGAAGAGCGCAAACAAGTTCCCTATTTTTGCCCCCTAGAGCATTTCGAATCAAGTGAGTTGCTGCGTTCTTGTCTTCCACTACGAAACGGTTGGTATCCTGGGGAATCTCATATTGAACTTGACGGATGGGTAATCTCTGACCGGATTGTTTTTCCTTCGAGTCCATCTCGACAGGCAGAGATCCATTACTGCTGAACCAGCTCTTCATCCAGTTTCCCACACCATCCTTTCCACCGGATTTTTGATGTTCAATCCACTGCCCGACTAGTCCAACAACTTCTTCATTACTTAGCATTTCCCACAAGCCATCTGTAGCCAGTACCAAAAAATCGCTTTTAGAAGGGTCAATTTTGGTCGTTGTGATAACGGGCTCCGCAGTAACATAAGGGGGAGATTTCAAGAGCTGGTTAGGAGTGCGTCCGAAGAAGTGCCGTTTGATTTTCTCCTGTGTTTTACGCTGCCATTTATATGCGGCATCGCCAAAGGCTCGACTAGGTTCGAGACCACCGAGAATTCTTCCATTCCGGACGACGTTGTCTTCTCCGGGGTGTTCAGCGCGCAACCGTTTGGCTTCAGATTCCGTGCCCCCAGTTTGGTCTTCAGATAGTGGTATGGCTGACCATTTACCGCTTGGCGATCGACGTCCTAGAACCGCCCGAGAGTCACCGGTACAGGCAACGCGTACCAACTTTGACCTGCTGTCATAGAATGCAAGAAGAGCGCATGACCCAGACAGAGCCGGGGCAAGAAGTTCGGCAGCAACAGTTTTAGAGTTAGCCTTGACAACTTTTTCCACGCTTTCAATCACAATTTCATGATCAAGTCGCAAGAAACCGGTCTTTATGGCGGCATCAATCGCTTCTGGGCTTGGGAAGGGGAATGATGGATTGGTAGCAGCCGACTTATAAGTGGCATTAAGTTCACGAGCAACATAGGAAATCAGAGTCTGTCTGAGTTTCGCAGATGTGGTCCATCCACTGTACAACAATAAGTCAGATTTCCACTTGCGGGAAAAAGAAAGGAGAATAGAAAAAAGAGACTTACGCATGGCCATCAAAGACGCCCCAGAAGTTCCAGTCACTTGTTGGGGCACCATTGTCCGTTGCTGCAACAGAGCTCGGTACTTCTACCACCTTTTCGGCATGGTCATCTTCAATCGGATCATTGCTAGGAAGCTGGACTACATCATAACGGACAACACCGGATCCACGCCCGATGAAATATGACTCCTCGTTTCGTCGAAGCCGTTCCGTGGCTTGCTCAGGTGTAAGCATGCCCACGACTCGCTCTCCCGAGTTATCTGTCCGTTTGGAGACTGGTTGATCAACACTAGCAGTGGTATAGAATTGGTCACTTTCCACCTGGACTCCTGAGGATAATGCCGAAGTTATTGCTGCATTTGATGCAGTGTGAATAGGACTGGATAACGTTGTGCTGGTTCCAGATACAGCGCTGGATTCAGACCCTCCGGTGTAGGCATACCATGCTCCTGTGGCTACTAGACTCGATGCAAACGCCAAAGATAGGTTTCTAAAGATCATGGAGGATTGGAGAATGACGGTATGGCGCGGTACGGAGGTTCTTGATGTTACAAGCCCTCGTAGGCCTATATCATGATATCGGGGGGAGTGGTGGAGTGCGTTGCCCAGTCTAAAGCATGGCCTTCGCAGTGGATACCGGCGCGCGGTTCGGAAAGCGTGGGCGACTACTCGACGCATCTGAGCATGGGATATCGGTCTGGAGGAAAGTGATAGCAACCGCCGCTGTTGCTTGGAACTTCTATTCTTCTAGCTCGCTTCGCTGCTTCTTCTGTCTCACTGGCGATAATACGGAGTAATAAGTAGTTTGATATCTTCAAGGATGCTTTAAAATTCTCAGTCTCGTGACTAGGATGATGTAATCATCACGACCGATTAGCTAACTAGTTAGTTAGTTAGCTAACCCGATTGGTGTTCCGCCAAAGCGCCCTTGACCCTTCTTACTTTTAAGCAAAGATACAAGCAAACGATATTTATATCAGTCCAAACCAGCATTAATTTTTTTTATATTTGGCCGGAGAGATAGCAAAATAATCACAGAGAAAGGAAGACTTATAAGTCAAAATGTCGTCTCGGGCGTTACGAAGATTACAAAAGCAAAAAGAAGTCCAGCAAGATCTAGAGGCGGAAAATGACTCGGGAGACAGCGAACAAGATATCCCAATTTCACGGCCAAAGATCAATGCTTTTGATCTATTAGGCGACCAAGGTGGCAATGAAGATCGCGATGATTCACTCGAATCTGAGCCAGAAAGACCCGTTACCGAAGAGGACCATAGCCTTGCCCCGCCGTTGGAGGTCTCAAAAGCTACCAGCGGCAGCAAGAAGAAGAAGAAAAAGAAGAACAAGAAACAGCAGCCAAAGAAAATTTCAGGGCCAGCAGAAGCGAATACCCCAGAGCCCGCAGTTCCGGAGGTTGATGAGATAGACCTGGCTCTTGAAGCTTTGGCTCTTAAGCATCCTACACTAGAAGACCAAAATGTTCAACCCGGAAGGGACTTTCATGGCTCTTCTGAGGAGGGTTTATGTGCACTTTTGGAAGTAGATGCCAAAAAGCTCGTTTCCATGAATGAAATGAAAAGACTCTTTGGAAATGCTGCCGTGGAAAGCCGGACCTCCCCGTCCGATAGTCCATCAGGAAACAGGCGACGTGAGCGGAACAGGCGAGCCCTAGACCTAGGGGCCGCGTTAACCGGGAGGTACAGCCCTGCTAGTAGGGGTCAGGACCTCTCGGGAGTTGCACTACGTAAAAACGTGCTTATGCAAGGCAAGGCTGAGTGGCCAAAGGCGACGAGTGGTGGCCTGGGAATGGAAATTGTCCAGAAATCATCTACAGGAGTTGTGGAATATGAAATACTTCATAATACAGCTTATAAGGATGTCCAGCGTCAGTTTGATATGTGTGTGGAGTCAATGCAACCCGAAAGAATGATCGAGTTGCTTCAATATAATCGTGAGTTTTTACCGCCTCTCTACCTTTTCGTCTCGCTGCAAGTGCTTACAAATTCTAAGCCTACCATATATCAACACTGCTACAGGTTTCTGAGATTGCAAAGCACCAGGGAGACCATGCAGTATCTGCTGACCTTTTGGAAAGAGCACTGTTTAACATTGGACGTTCGGCCCAGTCTTCATTTGGCAACTCTATAAAGCAGGGAAAGGCTCGACTGGATTTCACAATAAAGGAAAATCGTGAAGTATGGCTGGCGGGCTGGAGGTATATTATTAACCTAGGGATGAAGGGTACCTGGAAGACAGCATACGAGTGGACGAAGTTCCTCCTGGGCCTTGACCCGGACGACCCGTATTGCTTATGCCTGATCATTGATCATATTGCGATACGAGCACGAGAAATGCAACATTTTGTTGATCTGTGCCTACACCCTAGCTTTAAGAAGCATTGGCATTTGTTTCCTAACATCCAGTGCTCCCTTGCCCTAGCATATATGTACTTGAGGAAACCAAAGGAGTGCCGAGAGACCCTCTATTCAGCCATGGCCAAATATCCCTGGATATTTCGTCGTCTCACACAGGAACTAAACATATCTCCCGTGCCGAAAGCAATCTGGGGTGCACAAGCACCCAACTCTGCCCATGATCTACTCTGTGAACTTTACATAGCTAGAGCCAAGGACATATGGAATACTCCCGAGGCCACTTCTCTCCTGGTAGAAGTTGCCGACTCTATTCCGACAACTGAGAAGCCTCCTCAAGCACCTGAAATATCACAGAACCTAGCACGGCATGTTATATTATCGGACGTATCATCCGTGACGACCCACCTCCCACGCCACTTCACCATCCGACAAATATCAGCGTCGGACCCATTACCACCAAATGAAGTTGGGCTGTCTACTGGTCGCGCTGCATCCATGATGGACGAAGTGCTTCAGTTATTCGGCATAAATGAGCCAGACCACATTCAACCTGGTCGCCATAACCATAGACAGATCGACGAGGAAGAAAACATTGACTCAGGAGAAGAATTGGACATGGCCGGTGTGTATCTGCCTCCGTCACAAGTCCCAGAGTGGCTTCTTGCTGGGGGGGCAGAAGAGCTCGCGGAATTCTTCAGAATCAACGGTGTGGACCCTGGAAATTGGGAGGAGGGGGTTAACATGCTCCCCATCCAACGATGGGTGAGAACCCTCCTGCGTCTCGACAGACAAGACTGGCGCCGAACCATCTCCACCGTCGCTGCATCGCTGGGCTCATCGACTGAAATGATCGAGATGGTGCTGCTCGAGGAACTAGAACAGCAGACCAGCGCCAGCTAATGGTATATACTGTGGAGTACTCCGTACTAGCTGTACCAATAATCCCCGGTGTGGAAGTGCTCTGTTTGATAGCTCGCCGTGTTGTGTCTAAGACAAGCCAAAGTAAAATAGCAACAACAATTAAAGTCGGAGCCTCGCCAAGCTGGCGCCGTTCCGATGACGCATCAAGACAGAAACTTATTTTCTTTCCTTTTTATTATTAGTTATCATTCAACTCTAGCTAACGAACTATCCAAGCTCTTATCAGCAGTGGCGCTATAGCCGATGGGAGAGGACCTGTAGTGAACCATTTTTATGCTCGCTGCTTGGGTTTGTTTTTCATGAGAATGCTAGGGATGCTCGGAGCCCAAAAAGACTGCATCATCGAGAGCTAGCTAGCTCTTGCTTGCGAAGCTTGTGAAGCCCGACATTTCTGCTCAGTTACTTATTTGCAATAGCAGGAGGGGGAATAAAAAAAAAACACAATGGCTGTCACATTAACGCACCGAGAGGTAGCTTCGGGGATCCTGGGTTCGATATCTCTTGCTTGCTGGATATTTCTCCTGGTATGTTACTCTCGCGAGTTACTTCCCCACGGTATGCCCAAGCTAACACGTGAAGGTCCCCCAATTAATCGAGAACTACAAGAATGGCAGTGCCAAAGCCATATCTTTCGCCTTTATTCTCGTTTGGTTTATTGGAGATATTGCAAACTTGATAGGAGCTCTGTGGGCTAAGCTGGTGCCCGTGGTGGTAGCCATAGCCATATACTTCTGCATTGCGGACGGAGTGTTGATATGCCAGTGCATATACTACAACGAGAAAATCTCACGGGAGATGGAGAGACGGATTTCGAGTCATACAGCGCATGAAGATGATGGAATCCAGGTTCCCCAGCCAACGACACCACTATTAAGTCGACGGATGAGCGAGAATCTTGGGCAAAGCGGACGAAGGAGGCTTGATGGAAACTCGCTCAACCGTGACCCCTTGGCAAAGATGCTGGCAGAGGACGAGCCAAAAAGCACTTGGGCTAAGAATATACTGAGCCTACTGGGAATTTGCACTGCGGGTATTGCTGGCTGGGTAATCGCATGGAAGACGGTTGTATGGCAACCGACTCCTACCCAACCCATCAAGGGGCCAGTTGAGATGGCTGCGGGAGCGCAGGTCGCTGGGTATCTCAGTGCATTGTGCTATCTAGGGTGAGATCGCAGCCCTCCATATATACTATTTGCGTTAACTAAGCTTTGGATAGTGCTCGAATTCCACAGATTATCAAGAATTACAAAGAGAAGTCGTGCGAAGGTGAGCATCTATCGATATTGAACCCGCAAAATATGACTTGAATTTGAAATTCCAACTGACAGTCGGTGGTAGGACTCTCCCTTTTATTCTTCGTGTTTTCTTTACTTGGCAACGCTACGTATGGAGCAGGGGTGAGCCGTCCTTAATGCATCTAGTTTTACCCGCCCTACTACTCGATTCTGACAGTCACACTAGATTCTATTTCATTCTACGGAAAGAGAATACATTTTGACCAACCTGCCGTGGCTCCTAGGTTCGCTAGGTACCATTGCCGAAGATATTATTATTTTTGCGCAGTTCCGAATATACACAGCTCAGGAGCCGGCGTCTTTGGCAGTAGCCTAGCGAGCGGTGTATATATTATTACTTTCCCTTCTTCGTTGCTCCTCTTGCAGTATCCCCCAAGTTCAAGAGACGTGCCTCAAATGAAATGAAGAAGATTGTCCAAGGCGATGGTGCACAATTCACATTTTTTTTTTTTTGAGATTAATCTGGCAGCTCGGAAATATATATTTTTTTTTCATCACGACATGACATGGTAAAAAAAGGGTGAAAGGACAATATCTTTCATTCAGAAGGTATTTGCGCCACCCAATAACTGGTTTCTATTAAAAGATTCTGACCCGGCGGTGGGTAGCACCACCGATTTCGCAAGCGCCTCGTGTTGTGCATCCATCTTTTATGAATATGGGTACAAGGGGAAAAAAGATTCGTGAGAAGGCATTTAATCGAAAAGACCGAAGCCCATGTCCTCGTCGGACTCTTCGGCCTCTGTATATAAGAGAAAACCGCACATTAGTCAAATGTAGCTTATAAAGCCACGGGGAACTCTCGTTTGAGCCAAATAAATATATGGTAATTTTCACGTACCCTCGGCCTTTTCTTCCTCAGCTGGGGCAGCCTCGGCGGCGGCAGCACCACCAGCAGCGGGAGCACCGCCGGCGGCAGGGGCACCACCACCAGAGCCAACGTTGACTAGGATGTCCTTCAAGTTCTTGCCATCGAGAGCCTTAAGTCCAACACCAAAAAGGGTTCCAATTAGCACAAATTCACCCGAGAAGACTTCTGCGTAAGCCCTGATATCTGCAGAAAGTGGGATATACCTTGGCGAAAAGAGAGGTCCAGATGGGCTCAACATCGGTCACACCAGCGGCCTTGATGAGGGTTTGGAGCTTGTCGGACTAGAGAGAAAGCAGACAGTCAGTTCTCATCCTGATTTGTTCCCACTCCGCCAGAATTATCAATTTGACATGCGGACACGCGCTTAATCAAGTATTGACGGAACCAAGTTGGGATGGCAGAGATCCAGGGATTGCGCTCACAGTGATCTCGATGTCCTCATCGGCGAGGATGAGGGCGGCGTAAGAGACGGCAAGCTCGGCGGAAGACATTGTGCAGAGGCGTATGCGAATCTGTCTCTGGGGTGTGAGATGAGAGAGGGACGGACGTTGCAGGTTGAAAGGTCGTTCGTGTGCAAGCGAGAACTTGAACTTCGTCTTTCGATCGTCAAACGCCTTTTTTTGTGCGCAAATAGCTAGCTCGCTTACCCAGTCACGGGACCACAATAAAAGGTCTCCCAAAATTGGTGCGTGTCTAGTGAAAAAGGGACACTCACGTGATCCATCCCACGCCCAGGCGGGCGAGAAGATGCAAACAAGACAAACAAGGCAAACAGGGAGGTCAAACGGGTGCAAACATGCCCGTCGCGGCCCCGCCAGGAAAGAAGAAAAGAAAAGGCGAGCGACGGCCATTTGCTGATATTTATATTGCATATTACAGCTTCTACATGACAACGATACGAGCCACGGAAGAGCAGCCATCGAGCAGCCGTCAGAGGAGCTAGAAGTCCGTCTAGTGTAGCCGAAGGATAGCGCCGGACGTTCGACGACCATAACAAGCAGCAGCAGAACATGGCAGATTCCCCCGCCGTCTTTGCCCCGGTTGACCCGGCAGAGCAGCCGATACTCGAGCGCCTCATAACTATACGGGACGGCTTGGTGCTGATCAAGCAGGACAAATCTACATACGTCAAGTCTCATGATGTTATTCCTTTCTATGATCAGGCTATCGAGCAGGTGCAGATATTGAACCAACATCGTGCAGGTCGGAGAGTGGCTCAAAACAGAGGTAGGCAAAAGGCCTATGCGTTTTGGCAGGTTTTACTTCATATTACACCATTAGTGAAGCGCCCCCATCGTTTTATACTTGGTTTCTAATGGATTTCTAGTTGACAATGTCTTGGACGATTGCTTTCAATTAATCTCATTGTTGTTTCTAACTGTTGGGAAGAACAACGAAGCACCAGCTGTGTACGTTTACAAACTTCCGGATGACTTCCAGCGTACTAATTCGCTAACTATTGTCCCCTCTACTAGATATTCCATGGTCTCTACCATCAAGGTACGGCCTTAAGCAGATGCTCCTACTTCCATGTTTCTTGCTAACCGTTTACCCAGCGATTACTGGATCACCTTAGAGAGGCCGCATTCTTCAGCCAGAAGGATCTCGACTCGATAAGCGGCAGTCTTGACGGAGTGGAAAGCAACATACGCCGTGGCAAAGATACATACTCACCTCATCTGCTCACACTTCTTGAGACTAGATTGGAGACGTGCCGCTCTCAATTAGCAGAATTACAACACGACCTTTCCTTGCTTTCTCCAGATCTCACCCCAACACACGAAATTCTAGTGTCTATATTAAGGTCTACCTCCGCAGCAAACACAAGGTCAAAGGTAGGCAGCTATAGTTTACTCCACTGCAATGCTGATGGTTTATGTGGTTAGATGCATGTTGACGTCATGCTTTAGTTTTCTGCGTCTGAGGTGCTTGGTTTTAAAGATCAGCTGAATGCAATCAAGTCTAAAATGGTTGATGGAAATTTTGTTGCTGCTGATGGATCAATTCCTGCTGGCCAAAGGATAGTGAAAGACTTACTAGAAAAGTGTTTTAAATGGTCCGATATCGTCCTTGAGCGGTAAGAGCCTCCGATATTTCCCCTTACTGCCGGGTATCCTATAGCTAATGCCTTGAGCAGACAAGGACAGGTCAACGAAGCTTTCTCAGATTACTATAATCAGCTTGTTGATATCAGAAACCAGCTTGACAGGTTGTCTATGACTCATGCGTGGTCATTACGTGAATCAGACCTCTACATGTACCAGAGGAAACTCAACAAAATCGACGAATGCCGAGTGGATGGTAACTTTTTGGATGCATCGGGAAAGCCTGCTGATCTACATGCACAAAGAGTAAGTGTATTGTCTTACAGTAGAATTGTTTTGATAAAACTCCTATACTAACAAAGTTAATCAGACCCTTCTTTACCTAATTCGGCGGAGCTACGCATTGATATATGGTCTTCTTGTTTCTTCTGAGCCAGTGTCAGAAGCACTGTTGCCAATATATAATCAACTACAAACACTGAGAAAATGTCTAATAGAAGTCAAGGAATCAGGAGGAGTATCGAGTGCCAGAGAGCTTTACCCATATAGTATGAAGGTGAGTCACGCGCTGGGTGATACCATACTTCGCTTCGCTATAAGGAATTTCGCTAACTTGTCCTAGCTCAACTCGATCGACAACATGCGAGTTGATGGCAAATTCTACATCGGTTCTGACCTCCCTGAGGGCCAAGGCGGTGTTAATGAGCTTCTTGCGGAATGCTATGATCTCTGTTATGACCTACGTGCAGATGCTGAAGACATAGCTTCCCCCCAGTCTTGATTGGACATATTCTGCCTTCATAGAAACACATTCAGCCATAAAGCAACCAGGGCGGCATTTGCTATCCCATTATAGGTGTTTGGTTACGAGTTTATATGACCTTTTTTTTTCTTTGTCTTATTCCCTGCCGTGTACGATGATTATTTTTCACCATCCCTTTTATCACTTTTGAAAAGCAGTTGGAACATATTTTGCAGAGTTTCTCATGTTTCTCCGGGGTTCAGTCACACCCAGACGTCCATAATCTATACAACGGCCTTTGCCATCCCCATAGACACACGGGGGGTGATTTCGATCATCTCTTTCATTGGAATTCTGAAGAGCCAGCAAATGATAATACTCAGAGACAAAAAGAAATAATTGCACCGCTAAATGCCGATGTCGGGATTTAGACTTTTAGCTCAGTCCAGCCAATGACGTGCGAGACAAAAAAAATTGCTGGACTCATAACACTTTTTCTTCCGCCTCGACAAGAAGAACACATTTAAACTGTTAGATACACAGAGGGGGCCATCATGGCGATGCATATTCTTCGTCAGGGCTGTGCCAACGGGACTACGGTAAGTTTGTTGTTCAATTGCTTGCTTTCTGCTGTCGGATAAAGCTATCTACTAACCCTGCAAGCATAATTAGCTCACACGATCGCTCAGGCGCTTTGGGCTTGGGTTTCGTGGGCTGGCAACAGTCACATCCCCATCCGCGCCCTCATCTCGTTCTCCTCCGTATCCCAAGATTCTCAGCAAACTTAACGAAGTTAGGAGGGTACTAGGCTTGTCAAGACCGTTAACCCTCGCCGAAAAGAACCTATATTCCCACCTTGACAATGTAGAGGAGTCATTGCTCACCGATACGCAGAATGGCACGCAGGTTAGGGGACGAGCTAATCTGAAACTTAAGCCCGATAGAGTCGCTATGCAGGATGCATCTGCTCAAATGGCCCTTCTCCAGTTTATGTCCTGTGGCCTTCCATCAACGGCCGTCCCAGCTAGCATCCATTGCGACCACATGATAGTTGGAGAGAAAGGCGCTGATGTCGATCTTCCAACATCCATCAAGGGAAATAAAGAGGTTTTTGACTTTCTTGAGTCTGCTGCAAAGAAGTATGGAATTGAATTCTGGCCTCCAGGCGCCGGGATCATTCATCAGACTGTCTTGGAGAACTATGCTGCACCAGGACTGCTGATGCTTGGTACTGACAGCCACACCCCCAACGGTGGTGGATTGGGTGCCATTGCCATTGGTGTAGGCGGTGCTGATGCCGTGGATGCCCTGGTGGATGCCCCCTGGGAGCTCAAGGCTCCTAAAATTTTAGGTGTCCGTCTCGAAGGTGCGCTCAGTGGCTGGGCGTCTCCTAAGGACATCATCCTCCATTTGGCTGGTAAACTTACTGTACGCGGTGGAACTGGATTCATCATCGAATACCACGGCCCAGGCGTGGAAACACTCAGCTGTACTGGCCTCGCTACCATTTGTAACATGGGGGCTGAAGTTGGTGCCACGACTTCACTATTCCCATTCGCACCTAGCATGATACCATATCTACAAGCTACCAATCGGTCTGAAATAGCCAAGTCTGCTTCCGATATTGCATCTTCTGGTCCACAGAACTTGCTTCGAGCTGACCCGGGTGCCGAATATGACCAACTTATTACAATTAATCTTTCCACTCTCGAGCCTCATATTAACGGACCATTCACTCCAGACCTTTCCATTCCTCTATCAGCCTTTGCAGATACGGTTCGAGAGAAGAGATGGCCTGAAATATTCGGTGCTGGTTTGATTGGAAGCTGCACTAACAGTTCCTACCAAGACATGACACGTTCTGAGGATCTCGTCAAGCAAGCTTCCGCAGCTGGCCTGCGACCAAAGGCGGACTTCTTCATTACCCCTGGAAGTGAGCAGATACGAGCAACTCTGGAGCGTGACCAGACACTATCCACGTTTTCATCTGCTGGAGGCACAGTCCTTGCAAATGCATGCGGACCGTGTATCGGGCAATGGAAACGAACTGACGGAGTGAAGAAGGGTGAATCAAATGCCATCCTTACCTCCTATAATCGAAATTTCCGTGGACGAAATGACGGTAACACTGCAACAATGAACTTTCTTGCTTCTCCAGAGATTGTCACAGCCATGTCCTATGCTGGATCAACCACCTTCAACCCAATGACCGACTCTCTTACAACCCCTAGTGGAGAATCATTTAAGTTCACTGCTCCAGTTGGATCTGACCTTCCTTCTGCTGGATTTGCAGACGGAAATCCAGACTTCCAACCGTCTGCTGCTGTCCCGGATCCATCTGCCGAGGTTGTGGTTTCGCCCACATCTGATCGTCTTGCTCTTCTTGAACCCTTTGATCCATTCCCGTCCCACGATCTTTCCTCCCTTCGGGTTCTGTATAAAGTTAAAGGACAGTGTACTACTGATACCATATCTGCTGCCGGACCTTGGCTGAAGTATAAAGGTCACCTTCCAAATATCTCCGCCAATACTTTGATTGGAGCTATCAATGCTGCTACAGGCGAAACTAACGTCGCCTACGATGTCGACGGCAAAACTTATTCTATTCCAAAGCTAGCTGAGAAATGGAAGAACGAAGGTAGCCAGTGGCTCGTTGTTGCTGAGGAAAACTATGGCGAAGGAAGTGCGCGAGAGCACGCTGCCTTACAGCCTAGATATCTAGGTGGAAGAATAATCGTGGCAAAGTCTTTTGCTAGAATTCATGAAACCAACCTCAAGAAACAAGGCATTGTGCCGCTTACGTTCAAGTACAAGGCTGATTACGATAAGATAGATGCTTGTGATGAGGTTGAGACGGTTGGCCTCTACAATCTCCTGAAATCCGACGGCCAAGGCGAAGTTACCCTCAAAGTCACTAAGAAGTCTAGTGGAGAAACAATCATTATCCCCGTCAACCACACCTTGAGCAAGGACCAGTGTGGCTTCATTCTCGCTGGCAGTGCATTGAACCTTCTCGCTGCTAAATCTCGATAAAGTACTCATATTCCTCCTTTTGGCTTTCTGATACTGCATTCATTTTGCGTTTAGCTATGTCTATTCATCTTTGATTTCTTCGCAGAGCAAATACCACTTCGGGCCCTTTGGTGATATCCTATCAATAGAATGGTTTGTAGGTACTACAGTTATCTGGATAAAAATATCCCAATTTCTTCCTCCAATTACGTGTTCCGGGTATCGGCGTTAATAAATAAATACAGCAGAAATACCCTATCAAGAAAGATTCAACCAATTACCCGTCCATCTCTGTAATTTTGACCCTTACAGGTTCCCCCGTGGTACGCTCGAAATAATGAACCTTCATCATGGCAATCCACCTTGGCCTCAAGTCACCCGCATTACGCTATCTCAAACATACACTGAGAGAAGGACTTGCCATTGATAGTCGACCGTAGAATGCTATCGGGAAGGCTAGTGTTCAGCTCCATTTCAACTAAAGTGCCGTAATTCCAGAATAGAAGCGGCTTTACTTCGCTACCAGGGCTTGAAGCACCATCGGAGATAATCATTTGCTCACTATCATCTTGTACATGACCTGCCGGAGTAAATACTAATTGCAATCCTATAATTTTATTCCAAATATATTCATGGCCTGCGTGCTGCTTTAGAGGCGTTTTACGTTGTCTTGAATGGAGCTGTTGCATTTTGTAAAGCTGATAATAACTAGTTATTGATACTAGCCAATCTAGTTAACCTTCCCCAGAGGCCCTCATAAAGCCAATGGAACTTGAAAGCTGAAGCATAATCATTGGTGACGGCGTATGTATATACAGCCAAGGCTACTGACTAGAGTGAATAATAGCTCCAAATCCTCGGTTTCAGCTTTCCCTTTGTATATTAGATGGGCAAATTGGTACAGCGGGTAGTGGACGATGGTGAAAATTCTAGTGGGAGAGGATTTGGAAGAGTGAGGGTGTTTACTCAATTCATTGAAATTCTTTATTTCTCCACCAAGCGTAAAAGGCCATATGTATCCGTAAGAGCAGAGTAAAAAAAAGACCATATGATGCCATGACTTACTGATGAAGGTAAAAGATAAGGGGAAAAGGGATATAGTAACTAGTCGAGGGATGTAAAGGGAAAGGGGGACACTCTGCTTTCTATCTAAGATTATGAAACCGAGAGTGTACAATGACAAGCATTTTAGAGGGTTTAAGATCGAGAATATTCAGGGTGACGATTGTAGGAGGGATGAACGGGGGTGATAGTGCAAAATGGGGAGTAACATAACGGGTAGTTAGTTAAAGAAAATGGGACATCAATACTTGGGCGTTCATTGGAAGTGTCTGCGAACTGTCATTTGGTTCTCAGGTCGAACAATGTTAAGGATCTGGTCTGCGTTTATACCAGTTGCCGCAACCAATTGTTTAGCCGCTTCAACAACTTTGGTACACACATTGCCCTGGAGGGTCTCAGCCTCAAGTGCTTGGACAATAGAGGTGAATACTTTCTCGGCCTTTGAAAGAACAGATGGGTTTCGCCTAGAAAAAATTAGAGTTAGAAAAATAGAAAGAAAAAGCGCCCTTACAGAAGGGGAACTCACTGGTCAATAAGCTGTGCAAGAAAAGCATATGCATATGGGGCTGCTTCCTCATCATTCTCAATTGGAAGCGTATCAATCCAATTATCAACTACTTCCTGAGGGTTAGGAACCTTGCTGGAGTTAAAGTGCAGTATCTTGGCTATGCTGGCGGAACCGTTCTCGGTAGCAAACACATGTTCTTCCGACCTAGCATCCGCGAAACGGGTTACGGCAAATAGCATGGGAATACTGCCAGCAGCAAACTCGCTCCAGGCCTCTCCGCCTTTCTGAGCAGCAACTCCGACACCATAAGCAGCAGCCTGACGGTTTGATGGGTTTTCATCTTGCATGCCGTCAATTAATGGCTTGAGGATATGGTCCTTGTAATTCCAGGATTGATCGCCACAAAATTCAAGGACATCGTCCAAAATACAAAGAACCCATTGCCGCTGCGTGGGGTCATCGCTGGTAACGAAGGAGTTGTAAAAGGGTAGCAATTGTTCCCATGCTGGGAGGAAGGCCGGACCGTGATTCTTGAAGATGGTGTGGAAAGCCTTGTTCATATCGCTCAAGAGGTTCTGATCCTCTTCCATCTCGTAGTCGAAAGAGAAAGTGTCATCTTCACCATCATCAAGCTCCGCCTTATCTTCGAGACGTTTCTGTACTCGCTTCTGGTAATCCTCAAGGGCACTCTTGGAAGATTCGATAAACGCTTGCATGTGCTGTGGAGAGAGACAATTCTTTCCAGCAACCTCTACGGATTCGTAGAAACACTGGAACATTTCCGCGAGTGTATCAATGGAGGGCTCTGCGGTGAGAATTTCAATGATCTTTAACAGAGCAGAAGACCACATTTGCTGGAATTCTACCGACTGCTCATTGTGGGACTTCTTGTAAGCGTTCAAAAGACGTGGAATAAGCTTGGCAGAAGAGACCCGGACAGGGTCGTGGAAGAAGAAAGCCAAGCCGGGTATGGCAATTTCTTCCAATGTCTTAACAACATAGGGCTCAAATGCACCTTCGAGGACTTGGGCGTAGATCGTGATTAACTCAATGGCAGTATTCTTGTCTTCAAGGGTGCTGGTTCGGATACCGATGATCTTGTCCTTGAATGGGAGCAGTTCCCAGTTGTGATCTTGCTCAACATCTCGTAGAGTCTCGTCATTCTCTAAAATCTGAACATCTGCACTAGAGGCAGCAACTTGAAGCAAAGGCGGCATAACTGCGGGGAGATACGGAACAAAGGCAGGTCCTAATACACGGCACATACGACCCCAGCAGTGAAGAAGGTAAGATGATTGTGGGTCATCAGGCTCGGTGATATTTTCTACACATATGCGCAGTTAGAGTATAGGTATTTGATATTCGGGCTGAATAGGTACTTACGCTGTATGTGGCCAAGCAATTGAACTAAGTTAATAGCATCTGCACCCATCTTCTCTCTACCAACAGCCAAAGCTATAATAGGTTAACCCAATGCGGGAATATTCTAGTAGAAAGAGTATCACAATACATACCAATAAGAGTGGCACACTCCATAGCCTTGGCGCGAACAACGAGGTATTCCTTTGATTGTTCTTCCTTGAGGACGTTGAATAAAAGGGGCATCAAAGTATCATAAAACTGTCCGAAGGCAGCTTCTGCAGAGTCCGCGATTGTGGCAATGGTGGAGAGAGCTTGTTCTTGAACATACCGCTTGGGATTTCGGAGGAGCTGGAGAAGATTCTGCAAGAGGTCTGGAAGATATGGCTCAAGAATAGCGCGTTCTGCCTCTTCGCAGAAATTAACCAATGCAGCCGCAGCATGGGCTTGGACACGGGGGTGTTCAGATGTGAGAACAGGAATAATATTTCCAAGAACAATGGAGTGGTATTTTTCTTGCATAGTGCCAGCAAAATCAGTGCTCATTTGGCCCAAGGCATTGCACCCCGCAAAACGTACTCTGGGATGAGGATCTCGGAGGGAAGGGATCACCAGGGCGAGAACTTGATTGAGTTCCCCAATCATCAGATCACGGCACCCTTCTGAAATGGCAGAAATAGCCATAAGAGCAGCGTGTCGATCGCGCCATGATGCCGAATTCATCATTTTCGGGACCCAATTAAAGGTGGTAGGAAGGATAATTTGTCCTCCCAGCTTGTTGGCGAGACGGTCCATGCATTGTTCGCCAGCAACATGGTTCTTATCGCTCTCTTCCAAATCAAGCTAGAATTTGGTAGTTAGGATGGTGCAGATCAACGTAAAGCTGGAGAGATCAGTACTTACATCTTCAGATGCACTCCACTCAGCAGCATCGTCATCATCTTGACCAACATCGGTCATCAGACTAAGACATTGAGTCACCATTTCCTGGGCATATGTAGGATCCTTCTTGCACATGGTTGGTGCATAGTCGGCAAAGGTGGCCATGAGTTCGAGAGCATTTTGCCTGACTTGTTCAGATAGTTCTGCATCCCCAATAACTGTGACGCTAAACTTCACAAGCTTGTTGAAAAGACCCTTAAACATCTTAGGGTTGACTTCTGCAAGTTCCATCAAGGCAACAAAGGCCTTGGATAGCTCCTCGCCCTGGTCACCCTCTTTCAGTGGTGGGAGGATATTGAGCAATTCTGGAACAACGCCAAAGAACTTGGCCTGCGTCTTTTTGCTGATTGAGCGGAAGAATGAAGCAAATGCCTCCATAGCGGAGATACGGACCTATAACGTGTTAGACGAGTGGCATCGCAGCACATACAACTGTTTTACTGACAGAGACGTGATCATCCTGGAATCCCTTCAAGAAGACCCCCTGTACCATATCCTCATGCTGCTTTTCTATAATTGTGGGGGTGGCGGCAAATATACGGAATGCGGCCTCGCGGAGGCCACTAACAGGAGATTGACTGGCCTGGAATAGCACTGATAGGAGTTCTGGCCATGGTTCCTCTATGGTAATATTAGTACCGGCTACCGAATATGCACTTTAGTAGAAAGGCACGACGACGAGCCTACCTTGGTCTGAGTATTGAGATGCTATTTCTGCGACTGCGTCTCCGATCTTGTTTCGAACGGGGGCAAAAGACTCGTTGCTTAGAGCCTCAAGCAGCTTCTGTCGAATGGCTACTCTCTGGTCTGGATGTAAACTGAAAAACAGTTCTCTGGGATCACCGGTTGAAGGATTCTTTATCGACTTTGCTGCCATACGTCGGAAAATCACAGCTGCTAAAGAGCGGCCCTGCAGATTAGAAACAATCAGCACCTCGCTTTCCGAAATTGCACTCTCCCTCGTCCAGGCCAATGAAAGGGATAAGAAGCCGCTATAGCTGCTAGTTTCTTGTACATTATCAACTCACATTCGTGTCCTCGGAGCCCTGGATCTGCTCTGCCAGGCCCATCAACAAAACATCCGGACGGTTCTGAACCCAATCGTTATTCAACTGCCCTTCAGCCTGGGCTCGAACACCGTTATCGGCAGACGAAAGGCCGAGTAACAGCTGCGACAGCGCTGTATGAACTTCCTGCGGTAGGACCGACATTTTTGCTTCTCTATATCACCACCGCCGGGTAAAGTAATTTGGGGCAGCCGACGGTATCTCGCACCGGTCGCCAGGCAACCAGGTAGCTTCTTCGCTCCCTTAACTATTTCCAGCAGCAAGCAGATGATAATTGTGTGGACGGAGACAGGTCGCTGTTCCTGATATTTGACTGGAGAGGAGCTCCCTGTGGTGTGTCGCGGTTGTTGGTGGTGGGCGTCTAAAGAGTAGGAGGGGTGATTTGTTCCTTTGTTTTTCCTCTTCCCTGGCGTTAGCTAAACAAACTAAAGCCACACTGACCGAAGCCCTGGATCACAAACAACAGCTCAGCGGCAGTGCATCAGCAGAGCAGCAGGCAAACCGAGCGCGTCCTTTTTCGAACCGAAAGGCGTGAAGTAGTGAAGCCGCGAGGTGCTGAAGATGTGTTTAGTAGGGAAAAAAAGGTGGGATGCTCGAAAGTGGTGGGAAGTCTTTTTTTTTTTCTTCTTTCGAACTAGTCCCAAATAGTCGATTTGCGCCGTTTGCTTTGCAGATGGACAAACCGATGTCAAATATTTGGCTATTTGGCAGATGAGAAGGCAGGATAGACAGTGACGATGATGACTAGAGCCGTTTGTGGCGATGAATTAAGGATGATCTATTTTCATCTAGCTAGGGGTTCGTAGAATTACAAAGAAGGATATCTCAAGTATTGTGTGTGCTAAAAAAAAAAAAAAAAAAGAAAGAAAAAGAAAGAAAGAAAAAAGGGCTAAGAAAAGGGAAAAAGGGAGAAGCTAGGACTATAATATAGTGACAAGAGAAAGGTCGAGGAAACAACAGAGGAGAACTGGGTGACGATATACTGGTTGAGTATCCAAGTGATTTCGAAAGGGCTGGCTAGGGGGAAAATGGCTGTAGCAAGGCAAGGAGAAGGTCGAAATTATCATGGCAGGGTTCTATCGTCTACCTCCGCGGCTCAGCACAAAGACACCGACAATAACAGCAGCCAGAGTAACGATAGCTCCAGGTAGAATAAGTTCGTTAGGAATGCCGTTGATGAGCTGCTGGTCCGTTGAGGGCTGGACAAGTGATTGGGCCACAGACTTGGGGCTGCTGGCCAACTCCTCTCTATGCACGGCTTCCTCCTCGGCAGCAACGGTTACGGATTCAGGAGGGGAGGCAGCTTTGGCTGCTGCAACTGGCTCGGGTTCCTTGGCAACAACCGGAGTAGAATCCGGGTTGTGGACGAAGAGGTCAACCTTGTCTTGGCTGGCCTTCCGGGCAATTGAAATGGCGTCGACAAGGTCCTGGTCAGCAGTGATGGAGACAGTGTCACCTTCGCTATCCAAGTAGCTCATGGCGAAGCCGGTGTTGCTGAGTTTTCCATCTTCAACAACGGCTTGACCGCCGATGGTGTCAACCTCAGCTCCGAGTTTGGCGGACACGTTCTGGACAAGCTCGGCAATACCGGCGGATGGATCAACGTGTAGACGATGAACACGACCGCTGGGAGCCTTGAACTTGAAAGGGAATGAAGGGTCAAGCTTCCTTTCTACTGATGGGCGTTCCTGGACCTCTGAGACAGGCGCGTCTTCACCTCCGTGGTGGGAGGCAGAGTCGTTTGGCAAAACACTATCACCGGTATGGCCTCGGTGGTCTGGGCTTAGCAGAGATCGGTGATGGGGCTGGCTGCCAGACACCATTGAGTCAGACTCGTTGTCCATGGACAGCCAGAACTTGTTCCAGGCTGGACCCTCACTCTCATTGGTCTGGATGGTGTTGATCTAATAATAGGGTTAAATCCGAGTCAAGAATGCAAGACACCCAAAATGTGACTAACCTGTTCCAGCGTAGCATAGGTCAATTTAAGAACATCAACCATTCCCACGATTTCTCCAGACTCGTTCATAACGGGAAGATTGAGGTAATGCCCATCTAAATCAATGCATTAGTTCCCTTATATGCAAGTTGGCCGAGAAAAAGGGTGAAAGAAAAAGAATATATATACTGACCGTGCATCTTTCGAAGAGCAGCTTGGATACTCATGTCAGTAGGAGCAAAGTCTGGGTGGGGAGTCATGACTCGGACAACACTGCAGGTAGCTGGGTCGAGGCCAGGAGCAATAACTCGCAAGACAACGTCCTTGCTAGTAAAGATACCAGTGATAGACCCTTGGTCCTGGACCAAGAGAGCGGTTGTATGATTCTCCTTCATCAACGCAGCAGCCTCCTTGACAGACGTGCGCACGGACACCGTGGTAGGGGGTAGACCGTTAAGCACGGACTCTAGCGTAGGTCCAGACATCTTCGATCTCAAAGCCTCCACGTACTGAATAATTTGCTGGGGCTGGGAAGATCCTAGCTCAGATTGCACACCTTCAAGAGCATCATATAGCTTGCGGGATGAGCTATATGCACGTTCAAGCTTCTCCATTGCATCGTAGAAACACTTGGTGATATCTAGAATGCCAGAGATATCTTGGTTTTCGTCCATGACGGGAAGATGTCGGAAACCCTTTCGAACCATAAGATCAAGGGCATCAGTGGCACTGGTATCAGTACGAGCACATAGCGGGTTCTTTGTCATGATTTCGGCAATTGTCACATCTCTGGCGCGGATACCGGCACCTACGACCCTGTAGGCCAAATCCTTTGCGGTGAAGATACCGGCAATACGGTCATCATCGTCTGTCACGAGAACGCAATCTTCCCTCTTCGCTGCCATCAATTGTGCAGCTTCGGAAACAGTGGTATTTGGTTTGATCTGTAGAGCTTGACTGGGTTTGAGGGCAAGAACCGTGCCGGGCGGGGCCTTTCGAGTGTGTCGGGCCTTGGAAGGGTTGAACTTCTTCTTACTGAGGTCCGCTTCCATCTTCCTCCTGATGGCCTGAATAGATTCCATTTAGCAACTGTCCATTTAATCACCGCCCTCCATTGCCCCCCTCCACCAATGACAGAATAAATAGAGACAAAAAAAAGGGAGACGGGAGACGAATGCAGTATACCTCATCTCGTTTGGATTGCTTCTGCCTGCTCGTGCTCAAGGTAGAGCCCCCTCCGATATCAGATGCAACGCTCGGAGGAATTGGGTGTTCAACTTTGCGAGGAATGCCGGACGAAGCGTTAGAGTCAAAGGGGAGCTGGCCCCGACCCATGGTCCGGCTACGGATGGTACCGCCAGTCGCCGACATCTTGTTACAAAAAGTAAAATAGGAGAACTAGCTCGGGAAACGGGGAGAGAGGTAGATTCTGGATGGCAATCGACGTCGACCTGGTGCCTCGCTGCAGCGGCACCGACGGTGTTTTCCTGTCGTCGTCGTCGTCGTCTTTGGCTTAGACAGCGAGAAAAAGGACGAGGATCAGGCGGGTTTTTTTTCTTTCCTTCTCAAAAGGGTAAAAAGCACGGGACGTGTCACCTGATTGTCACATGATATACCATTACTCATCCCTTAGTCATAATGTGACATAATATAGTCATGTGACTCGCTTAGCCCTCAGCCCACAAGAAGGAAAACGTCGAAAGTTTAGCGCGCGAAGAAAGTCGCAGTGAAGTCGAAGAAGACAGCGAGATCTCTCCCAGTCGACAACGACCGCAACCACCAGCAACCCCAGCCTCGATCTCCCTCTCGCTCCGGTTTACCTGTCTGTTCACCTAGCTTGCGCAATCGCGGAAGCCACCCACACCGTCATTCAAAATGGTTAAGAAGCGGGCGTCCAAGTGTGTTGAGAAATACCCTCCCCGGCAATATCAGACATCCAGATATTCTGGATAACAAAGCTCAGGCTCTGGCATGGAACTAGGCCGTGTGTTGTTTGCGCCAGCATGAAACTGACGTTTTCTTCTTCATCTCTATAGCGGACGTAACAAGAAGGGCCGTGGCCACGTCAAGCCAATTCGTTGCTCCAACTGCTCCAGATGTACCCCCAAGGACAAGGCCATCAAGAGATTCACCATCCGTAACATGGTTGAATCCGCCGCCGTCAGTACGTTTTACGCTCTACAAGTCTTTCCCAGGATTTCTACTGCGCTGTCAAAAGAGACCAACTTAGGAGCCGGTTGGATACACCTTGCAATTGAGAGTGCTAATGTTCCCGGGTTGAATTATAGGCGATATCTCTGACGCTTCCGTTTTCACCAAATATGCCGTCCCTAAGATGTACCTGAAGCTCCAATATTGCGTCTCTTGCGCTATCCACGGAAAGATCGTCCGGTATGCATTTATCTCCCGCAGCCAAATGCAAATCACACACCATCCGCCTGAAATCATCTAGGAGCAAGAACCCAATGGAATAAGGAAATCAAAGCAACTGACGAAGCAATTTTTAATAACTACAGTGTCCGATCCCGAGAAGGTCGCCGCAACCGTGCCCCACCACCAAGACTCAGATTCAACAAGGACGTCAAGAAGTTGAACCCCCAGCAGGCTGCTGCTAACGCCAAGTCCGCCCAAGCTGCTGCCGCTAAGGCATAGATAAGGGATATCATTTGCTTTTCTTTCCCTTTAATACCTTTTTCGACATCGGAGGAGCAATAAAGCGGGGAATTAGGAGGGAGGGCTTTTTTTCAGCAGCAGCTCTACCCTCCTCTTCATTTTACAATCAAACTCAGCATGTTCATGGCGGCGGGAATCCTCCCAAAAAAAAAAAGAAAAGTAACCCTTTTTTTTTAACGATGAGCTGCGGCGAATATGTGAAATATCCTGGCATGAAATGATTTTTGTTTTAATTATATTTTATCTTTTTTAAACATTGCCGGATGATGTTTGTTTGTACACAACGCAAAAACTTCCTGCCGATGTTGATAAGATATTAAATATTGGTCAAATACAGATGAAACTGTTCTTGTCCAAACATCCATTGACAACGCCTCTATTCAGGGCTGGGCTCCTCTTAGAGATGATTCCTCTGGATCCTTACTTCTCCCTTCCAATGGCCATCAGCAGGTAATATTGTTGTATATCCAGTGCTCTGAACTCTTTTATCATATGCATCCCGTCTCTCTCGTCGGAATGCAGCCAATTCAACTACCACATCGACCATTCGTACCGGAGGCAAAGCCGCTGCCGAACTCGAAGTAGAACGTGTTTCGTCTTCATCAAAAAAACTAAAGTCATTCGCGGCAGCCGCCCATAGATTTTCAGAGTCTAGATCTCCAGTGCTTGATTTGAAGGTGTCTGGTTGGTAGTAACCTGTAAGGACCCAAGCGGACGAAGATTCTGGCTTTTCAAACTTTTTACCTGGTGATATCTCCAAGATGATAGCTCCCAGGGCAAAGAGTTCCTTTGCATGTTGCTTTACGGCTTTCGCACGGTACTGGCCTGGAGGAAGGGAGTAATTGGACTCAGCATGCAGTGAGGCGAGGAGAGCCTCGTCTGCACAGGCAGATATGAATTGTGTTATGGAGCAAATAATTGGAGAAGGTGAAGGAACAAATGCCGGGACATCTGTTAGAACCAGAGTTCGGATATGCGCGATGTTGGACGGATGGAGATATATGGGTTCATCCATGTTGGTCTTGTAGATGGCAGGCCGCTTTTCTAGAAGCCTTTGAATCATTAATGACTCCTTTCCATCTGTGAGTCCATCCTTGGGTAAAGCCTTATTAACAATATTATCTCTTTTAAGGATAGAATGGTGTATTCTGAGATAAGTCAGGTTCCGGGCAATTGGACTTTTCAGGACTGGTATGAGCTTCTCCATTCCAGGGTTGATAGCTCCAGCATCCAGCACATTCAACCTCCTTGTATGCAAAATGTCTATTAGACCACTCACGGAAGAGCTGCCGTACACAGGGGCGAGATATGTTCAGCACTCTTCTAAATCGCGTCAAGGCGACTTTTCATGCGTTCAGTTTCAGTGAATGTCAACGGTCTGTCTCTTGCGAGAGCGGGTGATGGATGGTACGGGTATGCCCACCGTAGACAGCGTCGTCTCTGGCCCCGAAGTGCGAGGCCGGCGCACCCCATAAGACTGGAGAGAAGATGCAATGCCATGCTCGAGAGACGAGAGAGGCAGAGCATAGATCTGCTGCAGAGAGGACGAAGGGCGCAATTATCGGCCATGCGTCTCGCGTGGTGGCGGATTCGTATGACGGCGGAAAGACGTCTGCCATGGTGAATCCGGTGAGAGGCAGAGTTTCAGCTGTGGCATCTCAGCTAGTACTATGGTGAGTACGAGTGTTACCGCTTTATTCTGGGCTGTATATATCGATTATTGACCGCAGGGTCGTAGGTATAATCATTAATAATACTGGTGTTGTTCACAAGCTATAGTTATAGATGTTGGTTATCTCGTATTTGACCCTCTACATGGTTAACTAGGTAGTGACATCACTCACACTGGGAGAACTATCGGATAACCGCCGCGTGAATGGGCAAGGGAGGTGTCTATGAGAGTGCGTTAAGAGTGATATTAAGCCACTTTTATATTGACTGAATTAGTTATCATAGTGCGCATCCGGGTTGTTACCGGGTAACTTAATATACAAACCGCCATCACCATCCTTGGGCTACATGCAATTGATCATCCAATGCATGTGTGAATGCGAGAGGAGAGACGCTCTGCAGGGAGCATGGGTGTATATACATATTTATATACGGCCATGATGCCCAAGAAAATACCCGAGAACCCTTCACGTTCAGCATACCTGTCGATATCAAGTCATACCCGCTATCAGCCATGCATATCAACGGGGCTTCAGGCAGTGAACAAGCAAGCTCAGGCGGTCATAATAACAATCAGAGTGAACGTTCCAAGTGCCGGCATATCTTTCTCTTCAGCGTCTCAAGGACTCTGTCAAATGTGTTTTGTCGTTTGCTCTCGGCTCAGCCGGGCTGGGTTCAATCAGACTACCATCTCCAAGAGGGCTTCTTCCACGCTCGAGATAAATTCGACTGGGCCCCTTTGGACGAGATAAGCGATGAACTGCGCCAGAAGTACATAGAGTTAACCCACAAGGGGGTGGGGATACTTCAGAAGGCGAGAGAGGATGCTATTAAGGAGGTACATATGTTGATCTACTTGAAGTCAAAAGTCGACGGACGGACGAGCTATGATACTAATGATCAGCAACAGGATAAACACCTCCTTGTGAAGAATCATTCTTTTTTCGCGGTTGAGCCATCTGCCTTGTTGGATGAAGCACAGCGAGGCAAAGAAGTCCCCCCTCTGACGATCGTTCCTAGACCTGTAGCATCCGAAGCAGAGAGCGGCATATCAGCTACTCCAGCACGAACGAAGACGAACCTGACCTTCTTCCCTGACGAGTACCTTTTACTATGGCAACCGGTGTTTATGATTCGCCATCCCGCGCTTATTGTTGAATCATGGTACAGGGCCGAAACAAGAGTGGTTCCCATCAACGTCAAAGACAAAGTCTGGTCGTATTTGACGTTCTGGTATTCTCGCAGCCTATACGACTGGTACGTGACTAGGGCTACTGAATCTGACGGCACCAAGACAGCGGCGGAAGTTAAGAGTGCGTCCTCTCCCTGGCCTATTGTCGTCGATGCGGATGATGTTCTCAGTGGAGAGTGCCTGGCGAAGCTCTGCAGTGCCTGTGGTATGAGTGCGGAACATATCAAGTTTGAATGGGAGGAACTGCCCCTTGAAGCACAGGACGTTTCGAAAAGACATATGAGTTACATGTGTGACTTGTGGACGTCGACGGGCCTCAACCAGTCCAAGTCTTCAAAGGGATTGGATATGGAGGTTCGATATGGGAAGTGGAAAGAGGAGTTTGGGGGTAGTGTTGCAGAGGGCTTGTATGAGCATGTCCAGAAGCTGATGCCGGATTATGAGTATTTGAAGAGAAGAAAAATATAGCCAAGAGACATACAATGTAGACGGCAGGCAAGACGAATGGATAGATGTCAAAAGTCGTGAATAGTATCCCCAGCTAACCTATGAAGTATTTTAGATACCAATGCCCAAGTAACCCAGTGAGATGATTAGCCCGCAAGTAAACAACATGATAAGAAGCAACTTGACAAATAAAAAGGGGGGTCAGGAAAAGACGACGAAATAGAAAGGAAAAAGAATACGCAGAACGACCCAGATTTCGTGCCCCCATCATGTTATTAACCCATAATTCCAAGCAGCATGAGAAAGAAAAGAGAAGCAGAAGAAGAACGCGAAGAGACGAGGCAAGGTAAAAGACAGCCGTAGAGTGAACCTATAACGCTGAGCTACCCATGCTAACGGAGAAGGCGGAAACGGAACGGACGGGATTTATTCATTCAAAGGATTAATTGGAGTAGGTATGTCCAAGGCGGTTATCGGGGTTCCTGGTATTTTCATATAATTTCTTGTTGTCGGAAGAGTCATGGCAAACGTGTTTTCACGGTTTGAGAAGAGGTGGTAGTGGGCGTCTTACATGACATACAGAAGATTGGTATCTAGGGGAACCAGCCAGTGTTAGGTCGAGGGAGGGTTAAAAGAGAAAAAAAAAAAGGGGGGGGGGGGGACGCAAATAAGCAAGTAACGCAAAAGCAAGACTGAGAAGAAAGGGGGAATAGAACAACTTGAAGAGTGGGCGAGTCTACTGACCAAGAGGGTGACTGCAGCTCAACTGCGGTTTCTGAGAGTACTTGGAAGCGAGCTCATCGCGGATGCTGTTGAGCAGCTGGACGTAGCTCTGCTGGGGGTTCTTTTTGAGGGCGGTGATAAAGGCCCAGGACATGGCGCCTGTGGCTTGACCGTCGATGGTAGCGTCTGCGCTGGTCTGCACGTCCTTGCTGCCTGACCACATGATGACGTCTGCGGGACTGGTACGGGTCTGGCGGGCCTTCTTGAAGCTCTCGTCGCCGCGGGTGGCCTTCTTGAAGAGGTCGACGGCGCCACTCATCATGCCGCCCATATCGCCGCGAGCATAGGCAGATACGACGCCCAGCAAGCCCTGGCCGGCTTCCTTGGCGAGATTGGGCTCCTTGAGCACTCCTTGCGTCGAGTAGATGAATGGGAGGTCGAGGGCGGAGCCAGAGTGGCAGGAGTCGAAGATGGCGGTCAAACGAACGCCAGGAACGAGAGGCTGTACCATGATACGGTGCATCTCGTCGTCGACGATGTGGCCGGCGGATCTGAAGTCTACGGGGTAAATGACCTCGTCGTTGCCGTCCTCTTCATCTCCGTCCAAGTCTGCCGTCTGACCACCGTGGCCTGTATACATATATGATCAGAAAAACACAGTTGTTATATTAAGGGCATTGTGTTAGTGTTAGCTGCTTTATATAGGCAGACGTACCTGAATAGTGGAAGAAGAGAGAGTCATTAGCTCTGGCGTCCTTGACAAGCCAATGCATCGCACGCAAGATATTGGCTTTTGTGGGCTGGCTCATGGGGTTCTGTTGGTCGTCTGTGAGGATGACCATGTCCTGTCTGGCGTAGCCATAGCTCTGGTTTAGGTAGTTGGACATGTTCTTGACGTCGTTGATGCATCCTCGCAGCTGTCCGCGCTGGTTGAAGTAGTTGATTCCGATCAGCAGAGCCTTGCGCTTGCCAGTGCAGTTGGAGTACTGGAAGTTGTATCCCTGGGGGGCTCCGTGGCCGAAGGAGACGGGGTTGTTGGGCGGCGGCGGCGGGCCCCCATGGCCCTGGTTATACGTATTCTGGTAGTCTAGCAATCACCGTTAGCTCGACTGCAGGCCGTTTGCAACCAAATCTCAGAGAGAGAGAGAGAGAGAGAGAGAGAGAAGCCTTACTAGGACGTCCGTTTTGCACCTGTCCGCTGTTGGGGGGCGGTCCATGGCCGTAGCCATGCTGCTGCTGCTGCCCGTGGTCCTGCAGAGAGTCCGACCGTCAGCAAAACCACCTCCTTCACCCTGTTTATTTCCTTGATCCCGAGGGATCCTTTTAGGCCCTGCGTTCCTCGCACTGTCGGCACCGTGTGAGACCTACTTGGTATCTGTACTGCGGCTGGGGGGACGGCGGTGCCTGGCCGTAACCGCCTGGCGGGGGAGCCTGAAGTTGCGGCTGCGGCGAGTGCGAGGGCTGCCCGTACGGCGGCTGCTGGTACGGCTGCTGTCCGTAGCCGTGTTGCCTATTCTCGTCAGTGTCCCTCGTCTCTCGCTGTCTGTCTGTCTGTCTGAATGGGCATGCTCACTGGTACTGCTGTGGTGGTGGTGCCCCGTATCCTCCCTGGTTGTAGCCGTGCTGCTGCGGCGGTGGCTGGCCGTAGCCCTGCTGGGGGCCGCCCGGGTACGCTCCTGGATAGTACGACATGCTCGACGGTGAGGAAGACGCTGGAGCTGGCGAAGATGAGGGCGAAAGGAGCGAAGACGACACTTGGGGGGGATTTCTGGCGAGGGCTGGAGGGAAAAAAGTGCGAGACGCCGGTGGAGGGGCGCAGCAGGGGGTTGTCCGGCTAACTCACGGGCTAAAGCGGGCTCGAGCGACTATTTAACGATTGGGGACTTCGGGGCTCGCAGACGCTCCGGCGGACAGACAGTCACTGGGATGGACGGACGGAGGCAGCAACGGTGATGATGCTCTGCTCGCGAGGACTGGCGACGGCGAGGACGAGTGAAGGGGGAAAAAGCAAAGATGATGAAAATTTCTCCTGCGCAGCCAAATTTTACGAGGATCAGAAATCTACGTGACGGGGACGGCTCTACATGGGACAGGACGCCGGACAGCTTGCTTCTTCGTCGTCTTCTTCTTCTTCTTTGGCTCAGCTTCTGTCCGGCGATTACTTATCATCGCATGGGGATGTTGCTCCCTGTCCTTCCGCTGCTTCTCCAGACGCGCATATCAGCCACAGCCAGCGCCCTTGCCGGCCGGAGGATGGGCTGATGAGTGCATGGAAGAGGCTGTCCTGTCCGTCGTAAGTTGATGCAGAGCAACTCGAGCTGTGTCACGGAGAGTTGTTGTGCGTTGACTTTGTTGATAGATATTAAAATCCTATGCTGTCTTCTATTATTGGTAGCAAAGAAAGTCCAGGCGTTTTTTCTTCCTTTTTTAATTTTTTTATTTTTTTATTTTTGAATCTCCTCATCTGTGCCATGCAGTAATGCAAGAATGCATGCAGCTCGTCATCTTCTGCTTCTTGTGCTTGTTGCTTCTTCTTTTCTTTTCTTCATCGACGGGGCATTCCGCGGCCCCGGCCTCCTCGTAGCACTCGCTGGGCGGCCCCTTGCGGTAGGGCCTGGGGGGGCCCCTGTGGCTGGGCAGACTCTTCGTTTTCTATCAGACGTCAGCAGAGTAGGACTTAGCATATAAATGTAGACCACTGTAGATGTAACCAGGTGGCCGGGGGCAACGGGGAAAGACGTACTGATGGTTTCGTCGACAGAGAGAATGAGACAGGCAGCCTCGACGGCAGACTGGATCGCATTGACCTTGACCAGACTCGGCTCCCAGACAAAGGCCTTCATGTTGTCTCGCACGCCCTCTCGGTCAAAGTCGACGCCGGCCCAGATGTTGCCCTTCTTGTGCTCGACTCTCAGTTGGTTGAGAATGTCCGTGGCATCGAAGCCGGCGTTGTCGCACAGCTGTCGGGGGATCACCTCCAGGGCCTTTGCAAACGCCTTGACAACGGCCTGCTGCTTGTGTGGGACGTTCACGTCGGCATACCGGTGGATGTAGCCGGACAGGTCCATCTCGGTTGCACCGCCGCCGGCCACGACGTTGGTGTTCCGTAGCGCCCGCTTGACGATCATGATGGCGTCGTGCAGGCTGCGTTCGGCTTCGGCAATGAACTGCTCTGCTCCACCGCGCAGGATCAGAGTGCATGTTTTGGCTCCAGGGCACTCGGAGAAGATATTGAAGCGCTCGCCGCCAATCTGGCGCTCCTCGAAGCTGCCGCATTCGCCCAGGTGGTGCTCCTGGATGTCGCTGCAGGTAGACTGTGTCGAGGCACCAGTGGCCTTGTTCACTCGCTCCATGTCATCAGACGACACTCGCCCGGCACAGAATATGTCTCTGTCCGCAAAGTATCTAACTTCGTTAGTACCGGGGCCGTTCATTAGGACAGAGGGGAGGGGGGGGGAGGCAAAAAAAAAAAAAAAAAGACATACTGTGTTGCAAGGTCACCGATAGGGAGCTTGCTAAGGACGACCTTGGCTCCGGTCTTGTAGAGAGCCTCGAGCTTGTTGAAGATGATCTGCCACTCCGCATCGACGATGGCCTGGTACTCCGATACCTGCTCGACCCTGACCTCTGCATTGTCCTTCTCGCTCTTCAGCTCCAGCTCAACGTTCAGGCAGACAATCTTTGGGTTCTTGAACGACTTGGGCTGCTGCTCAAACCCGGCATACGAAAACGTCTTCTTGAACGCAACCCCGTTGATGAACTGCGAGTCTTGCAGCGCTCCTCCGGTAATCTTCTTGACCCCAATCAGCTTCTCGTTCAACTCGTCCTGATCCAGCGACAGGACGGCATCAACAACCACTGCATCACAATCGGTTAGCTCAGTCACTGCCTTCATGAACCTTTCCCCATCATCATGTCCACCAAAAAAAAAAAAAAAAAAAAAAAAAAAAAAAAAAATTAAAAAAAAAAAAAAAAAAAAAATAAAAAAATAAAATAAAATAAAATAAAATAAAAATAAAAATAAAAAAGATAACGCACTCTTTGTGAAAAAGTCCGAATTCCGCTTGATCAGCTTGCTGTTCATCGCTGTGCCCGCCAGTCGCCGCAGAGTCTCGATCTTCTTCGCCTCTCCGCCAGCAGCATCCTTCATATCAATTGCAATCTCCTTGATCCGGTTGATGCACATGGCACTCGCCTTCCTCAACCCCTTTATAATCGTCTGAGCACTTACGTCCTGCTCCACTAGGTCGCGCACTTCTCGTAGGATTTCGCCTGCCAGCACAACTACAGAGGTGGTTCCATCACCTACTTCTGCGTCCTGGGATCGTGCAATGTCGGTCAGGATGCGGGCTGCGGGGTGGACAATATCGAGCAGCTATTACGGGCATCAGTCAGCACGAAGCCCTCGTAGGCGTCTTATTCCTAAACAGCTAGAACTAAACAGCTAGAACCTCTCCTTACCTTCATTACCGTCGCTCCATCGTTTGTGATTGTCTGCTTGCCGTTGGTGTCTACCAGTAATAGGTCCCCGCCATAGGGGCCTAGCGTGCTCTTGATAGTGTTCTGTACCGCAACGCAGGCATTGATATTCGAGAGAATCTGTCCCTTGCCCTGCGAGGCATCCGTCCCTGCATATCAAACACCCATCGTAAGCTTAGAACAGTCACATTCGTGCTGGAGCAAACATGTGGTAGTAGAGGGCAGAGGCATAGAAAAACTGACCCTCCTTCAGAACGATGATTGTGGGTGTTTGGCCCGCGAACGCCATTGCAGCGGTTCAAATTCAAGACAAATAGAATAAGCAAAGGACGTATTCTGCGTAATAGATAGCTTGGGGGAAAATGTCTCTCCTTTCCCGTTGTCTCTCTCCGTTTAATTGCAGAAGGTGGCTGTAGTGGTGTTCAGCGGTTTAGTATTTTGATAGCTTTTCGCTGTGTCTCTTTTTTTGCTTTTTCCCCCGTCATGCTGTGTCAGCAACTTCAGCCGCCAAACATCTTTGCCCCTTTTTTTATCTTACAGCATAGAAATATTGAAAAAGCTACGATGAATGAAAGGAAAGGTGTGTATATGTATATATATTTTTGAATGTAGTCTATCCGTCTAAGGTGCTCGTAAACGCCATCACACATCCAACAGCGGCTGTACATATTATGCCGTTCATCAGTCCTATGGAATGATTTGCTTGCTCAGTTCTCAAAGTGATTTTGGTCGTCTCTTCCTCCAAAGGCAACGGTAAGCAGGTCCGCCTGGAACTGCGCATCATTCTGTAGCCGCGTTGCCTCTGCGAGCCTCATGGACTGGTCTCGCATGCCCATGCCAACGCCGACGTCAACATCAACGTCAACTCCTACTCCGGCACCGACGCCTACATCTACGCCTACGCCGGCGTGCGACGCCATCAGATCGTCATCTTCAACTACCTGATAGCTACCTGTGTGAACATGATGGTGGTGTTCGTGGTGGTGGTGATCATGGTCATGATGCTGCATAGGAGAATGATCAAAGTCGTGGGTCAAGGCGTGATGAGGGTCGTGTGCACCGTCTGTTTCATACGGACTCACTCCCACACCAACATTGACGCCATTATGGTGCTGAAATGGAGGAAGATGATGGTGTATGTCATCCATTATCTGAGGATCGAGCGGTATATCGGCGTAGTCCGCCATTTGCCCGGCGTGAATAAGAGGAGTAGTGTGAGAGTGGGTGTTGTGAGGATGTGGGTGGGGTGTAGGACTGAAGGTTTCCTCCTTGGAATACTGGTGAACCGCTGCGGATACGCTTGTGAGTTGTTGGTCAGGCTGGGTTGGAGTAAAGGCGTTAGAAGGGGGTATATCAAAAGTGTTAGGCCGAGGAGTTGGCGATGGCTTCTCCCGTTTGAATGGCAAGTTATTGGTTTCTGAATTGCCGTTGGTATGGGAGCTAGGTTGGATGCCGTTAGCACCATTTATAGGTGCTTTGGGGCCTTCCTTGCATTGTGGGCAGTTCTTGATGGCCATACTAACAGTCTCCTTGATCCGGACCCAATGATATTTTAACGCAATAGTAGCCGTTGTCTTGTTGATACCACCATGCTGCTGCTGGTGTATCTTACGAGCTATCTCATACTGCTGCTGCGGATCGGAGACAACCTCCTTATCCTTCAGCATCAGCTTCTCTGGCTCACCCTTCTCGCCACCTACAAGCTTGTAGTGGGTAGCTGCACTGCGTAGACGACTCTTCTCAGCCCTATCTGCGCCACTCGGGTACTTGGAGTGTTTCAAGTAATATCTGATCTTGTCGAATCTTTCTTCAGAGACAAAATCTTCTCCCTCTGGACCGAGATCTCGACCGTATATGATTGCATCAATAAGCTGGCCTGGGTATGAGCGTAGATTGCCACAGCCTGGTATTCTGCCTACTCGCTTGAAGCCTAACGCGTCCCATATTCGACAGGAGGCTACGTTAGTTTCGTAAACTAGATTGAACACGGCATATGTGTATCCCTAAGTAAACAAACAAAGTAACGAGGAGCAAAGCAAAAGGTTAGTAACGTTATATCACCGTCAAAGCTTAACATATATCTTTCTTGAAACATTGCCGAGCTCAATGCTCACCATCTGTGGTGCCCATTCTAGGTAGCATTCCCCCATCAGCCGGCCCACACCGCGGTTTCTGGAGGCATCCGTCACCAGGAAGGCACCGTTACATATATGACTACTTCTTCCGGGGTAATTTGGCTTAATATTAAAGCTGCCCAGACATATCTTCCCCCAGTCGGCGCCAATAGCTTCTAAAGACTGTACATGGCCAACGATTGGCACGTCTCCAAGCAGCATGACCGCCGTGAAATGGGAGAACCAGTCTGTGCCAAACTCCTCCAGGCTCAGTGGGTTGATGAAGGGGTACGTGTCGCCCTTCTCGATCTCTTTGTTCAGCTGGTCGCACAGGTATGCCAGCAGTGAACGGGGGACCTCCTGTGCCGACGAGAAGGGGATCAGCGTCGCCGCTGTCACCCGGTCTCGCAGCGTTACCTGTCTCGGCAAGATTGCGGGAGGCAGCTGGGGGCTGCCGTTGCTGCCGCTTCTGCTGGCACACGGACCACTAGCGGCTGTCACCGAGGTGGCTGCATGGTCATGGAACGCTCCCGCGGAAGTCCCGGGCGAGGTGCGGTATACCGGGCCCCCTACCGGATCGTCGCCAGCGGGCCCAACACCGACAGCAGGCATGCTTCAACCCCTCACACTACTATCCTTTTCCCCCTTTGCCGAGTCGGATATATAGATCCTTGTCCAGTCCTCTTTCTTTCGCCCCTGGCCCGAACGACGCCTGTACCTGTCACGAGACCATCAGCCTTCCATAATCAGCCCCAACTGGCTCAGCCTTTTTATGTTCCAAAAAAATTCTGCATCCAAACAGGAGAAAAGGACCAAACTCGAAAATCTCTTCCACCGACAGGCAGCATATCGTGGCGGCAGACTCGCAGGCCCTGTCTGCTGCCCGCGACAGAACAGGCCTCCCTAACTGTGGAATTGGCGGTGCAAGGGGTCCTTTACCTGGGGCTGGGGGGGGGGGGGGGGGGGGGGGTACGCACTCTCAAGAACGGCTTCGTACTTTGCAGAACGCGGGGAGCTTTTTGCAGCAGGAGCGAAAAGGCGGAAAAAAGAGCGCGAGGACGATTCCTTCCATGCTTGGCGCCGCAGCGGGTTATAGTAGTTCCGGATGAGTAAGCAGCGGCTTACCTAAAGCCCGTAAGGTGGACCGGCAGGCTTGGCTCATGCCCTTGTCCGTCGCAGTTTCTCGCGCTGGAGGGCCTTGATGCCGGTTCGATCAGTCGCGATGGTTGCGTTGATAATGCGGTCAAAGGCGGCGTCGCTCTCGTTGCCGTCGTCGCTGTCGCTCTCCTCGTTGCAGGTGTCTTTCGCGGCTGTCGGACCCGCTGGCGACGGTACTACTGCAGGTCCAGTCCCCTTTGCGTCTGGCTCGCGGTCAGGGGAAGAAGCAGTTCCAGCAAACGGTTTGGACAGGAGTATCTTTCGCCGGATCTCTGCCATCTCTTCCTCATCGTCGTCTTCCTCCTCGGATTCCGGGAATAGATTGTCTCTCTGTAGAGCATTCCGTGGGATTCCGTCTTCGTCCTCGTCATCACCATCGCCTTCTTCCTCCCCCTCCTCGTTTTCTTCGTCTTCAGAATCCGAAAGGAAGGCCTGCCTGTTTGTATTCCCCGTAGTCCACATATCGTCTGACCCTTTCCCTTCTCGGTTCTCCGCGTATTCCTTCTCGATCTTCGCCAACCAATTCTTCTCGGCGGCCTTGATGTCTGCTTCTGTCTCACAAGCTGCATACCGCTTAAACAGCTGCGAGTTGATCTCTAGAAACGGCTGGCCGTAACGGAAGTGCTGTAACACCTCTTCAGCCCAGTCCTCGTGCCCACATATCATGAAAGTCGCAGCTAGTGCTTCAACGCAGTTCAATCGCCATGGCTTGCCATAGTTTACCGTGTTTGCTGCCACAAGGTAAGGCACTGTATCCCAAGAGTATATTAGCATTGAATCCAGGCCGCCGCCACACGGGATATCACGCACGCAATCTCTCTGTCTTTCCGCCAATTTTTGACCAAGGTACTTCGCTCACTCGTACCCATGAACACTCCACCACCGCAGCACCATATCGCTCGAGCAACGGCTTGTCAGCAGGGGAAAGGGTCTGCTTTGCATTCGGCCTATATTTCATCCCTTTTTATCAGCTGTGCTCCGTCATGATGTACAGTCTTGAATAGTTACATACGATATTACCACCCCCGGGAATTTATGTCCTATACCCAGATCGCGCATATATCCAAGCTGCATCAATCGTTTGCCAGAACATTTCTTCGGGTCACAGTGTCCCAGGTCCCAGCAGGCAGCTTGAAAGGGTGCGCGAGGTCGTTTTCCGTGCTCATCTACTCCGTCTTTGATCACTGGCCGTCGGTAGTCACCCCGCTTGCTCTTGCGGGACATCGTGTCCTTCTTATGTCGAACCATCCTGAATTAATGGCGGTAGTCTATCAGTAGAGGGCGCTGTCTTCCACCTTCTGGAAGTCCTTTTATCTCAGAGCAAGTGCTCTCTGTGAAACCAGTCTAACAAAATTTATCTGCTTCATCAACTTTCTATGTCAATTTTGAGGATGGTTATAGAGCTTTAAGCCTCCCAGCGAAATTTACCTATCACGTGAACCTCTGCTGATTAACGCTCTAGAGCGAGAGCTAACGTTTAACCAAATAATATACTCAGCAAAGCAAAGCATTAGAACTTGGGCTGTATTACGCCCGTCTCTACCCTGTTTTCCATATTTTCCTTCGCCGGATACCGGAGATGAACATGTCCTGATGAATGCGGCCCCAAACAACCAGTTACGTCATGCCGGACTTGACTAGGGCTTAGGGCTTGGGCTTTTGAGCCTCCCGACTTTCCTTCAGTTGACCTTCATTGGATGCAAATGCTATCCTCGGGCTTCCCCAACTCGTACGAGGTTCTATTCTCTGTTTTATGGCCCTTATTTCTCAAATTCATTCACCGGTGCTTTATCAGAATTAAAAGCACTGGCTAAATACTAGGTAGTTTTATACGCTTAGCACAGCACCCCCCCCACCCGGATCTACATGATTCCTCTTCTACGTGACAGTTTGCTGGAGGACGCATGTTGCAACGCTTATCACAGGACAAACAAACCCTTGTTTACTATAGACACTTCCTGGACGACTGAGCCTATAGCATAGGGTGATCCCCGCAAAGGTAACTATAAGATCGCCAATGACTCCGGTTGCTTGAGGCAAATGAGTAGAGGCCACTGCCTTTCACTTTGCCTACAGCCTTGCATCAATAAAGTACTGATAGTACCAACGACTCTGATTTAGGTATGTGAGTATCTATAACTGTCATGCATCTCCGGTTAATACTACGAATTCGCCTGGATCATGGCCGGAATACAATTATTACTCCCCAGCAAGCTCAGCACACTAGATGAGTCTGCATGCTGGGGGGTAATAAACAGGTTTTTAGGTGTACTTCAATGGTCAACGTGAAGTCTCTCAAATTGATATACAGGGCTAAAATGTTCTACAACTAGCATGTGAGCTCAAACAGGGTTAATCACCGAGGTTGGATTATCCACAACAGCATTAATGCATGCATGTCGATCTAGCCATCGCTGCATACAACTATCCTGGCTGCTTTCTCGAAACGGTTGAAGAATGACTATGCATCATCTCTGAGCAGGTATTCCGTAGTATCCCTGGGACTCTCGTTGCGAATTTGAGACACACAATATCAAAGTAAATATTGGACAAGGAACTTCAAAGGTAAAATGGAATGTTGGCTTAAGCGCACATCTCTCTATCCCTTGGATATGCCGAAGAGACAAACTTTGCAAGGTTCAAAACGTAGCTGAGGACCCTCTGGGTGAAATACAGCCTGAACCTAGGAAGGCTAGTAAATATCGATACTCTCGTTAATGGCTAGCACAGCTAAAGGTCCATTCACGACCTAGGCAATCGCCTATAAAAGCCAGTACTTAGTTATATGATACTAGGAAATATGGCCTAGAAGGCATTGTGAAGGTTATTCTTGTCAGGAGAACTACACATATATTAGATATTTTAAATTGTATCGATGAACTCACTCCCGCAATCTTAAGACTGTTGAAAATCACTCTCGGTCATACTACTCTCCTGACGAGACTATAACCATAGGCATCTATTATGTCTACTCAACTAGATAATCCTCCGGGAGGAAATATAGAGTGGTTATTCAAGCCGCATCGCTACTCTGGGCAAAGGAATTTGATGGCATAACTCGTTACGGTCGCTGGCTAATGGCACCAGATCCTGATTCTCTTTATAACGTTACAAATCCCGGCACATACAGAAATTGCATAGAAAGGGGTAACGGTTCAGACAATAGAGGTTTATATACTGCGGGTTGCCAATATTTATTTATCTACCCTGATGGCTCGTCGAAAGTCATCACCTAGCGGACAGCTAGTTACCTTATCAAACAGGAGAAGAAAACCAATATCCAAGTGTTCTAATTAACCTATATCAGTATTAACAAATTGTCGCTCTAAGGACTCACGGGGATGCGTTCTCGAGAGCTGCCGACAGATTATACATAATCGAGGGATGTTATGCTCGAATCACGCCGCGGCAAGAAGCGCGCATCGGCTAAGTTGCGTTGGTTGACGAAGGTAGGTAGTTAGTAAGCTTGCAGGGGCTGAAGCCAGCCAATCAGCTGCCAAGAAACCAGACGCGACTTCTTGCTGCTTCCATCGGCTTGACAATCTTGCAAGTTCGCGAGAGAATTGGAAGGAGAATACGGAACAAGTTCCAGGCTGGTGCACGTACATCTGGGACACTCGGCCGTCCGCTGATATTTATCTGCATATCCCCCATAGATCCCAGCCACACAGTGCATATCGGCTGGTTCTTGGTCTTTACAGGCGGCCAATTCCAAGGAATCAATGTGGACGAGCCTCTCTCGAGAGCGTGTTTAGCTTAGGGCCGGAGTCGCACTGGTGACGTTAACTATGTCAATCTTTCTGCCCTGTGTTCGAATTTTGATCTCCAGGGCGTACGTAAAACCTGTGGAATATCATAGTACAGGCCTCTTATACTGTCGATCATGCTCCATTACCAATACTGATATACAAAGCACGAAGCTGATCATCGCATGAAATGGGAAGGTTAGCCTGCAGTAGGCAACGGGGGTAAAAGGGTAGAAAGAGACGAAAGATTATCATCCAGTTTTGTTCTCGTCTTTCATTTCTTTTCTTGTTCGGAAACTAACGAGCTCTGACTCTGCGGGTGTCCCATCGTGTAACAGAGCCGCGCGACTCATTGAAGCGGTGGAGGACAGAGATGTAGCCTGGTTGGCTCATTTTTCCTACAAAGTTGGAGAGTTGCAAATAGCGGGTAGTATATACTCCAGGCACAGAGCTCAGATATAATAAATGGGCTCTCACGTTCAACACGTCGTCATGGTCGCATGACGGATACCCTGAGGATTGACATCCATGGCGCATCGAAAAGTGATTCCCCTGCTTTTTTCTGGTGGCCGACTGCATATATAATTGAATGCCAGCGCCCCTCTGTGCTCCGGATGTTTTGTCGCTCATCAACGGATAGCAATGACAGCACGCCAATTCTTTCACACCATGGCATCCATGATTAAAACTCTTCTATTTGCATTGGCCCTTTTCGCCTCAATTGTGTCCTCATCTCTTCTCAGCGCTCCCAGATTTCCTAAGAGATGCATATCTGAACCTCCTACGGAGCTTCCTGGAATCAAGTTTATCCCTTATCGAAGGAATCCTATGAGTCCTATCCGCTATGTCCAGTGTTTTTCTGTCGGCAGTTCCTGCAAGTTTGACTCCGACTGCCCTAAGCCTTCTGAGGATCACTGCATCGCTCTTGCAAAGACCGAAAGACGTGTTGTTCCTGCCTCGTCGATATGCATAAATGGACTCTGCCGTGTGAAGGATGCCCTGTGGAATGACTCTTGTGATTGTCACACAGGATGTAGCAAGCGCCATGATTTGGCTTGCGTGGAGGGCAAGTGTACCCCAAGCAAATGTACTCCTTGTGGGGAGACGCCGCAGCTCATCAAATGCTGCCCCCCGGGAGTGATGGGGCACGACGGTACATGTGTCTGCAAGGCTTCAATGGCCGACTTTTGATCGGAGCATTACCGGTCTAGCAAAAATATCTTACACTCTTCGACGGGTTCTGGCAAGGGAGGCCAGGCATGAGAAGGCTGATATGGGGTCGAACCGAGCGAGTGAGAGAGTGAGTAAGGCACTGAATATCTTTGCCGGCAGTCATGGTAAATAAATATTTAACTGTTGCCGCCAGGGACCGGGTTTATGTTATGATACCATGGCGTTGGTTTCTTTTTGCGATCTATATTCTCTCTCCGTTGAACATCCTGGCGATGCATCGGATTGAAGAAACGCGTAAGGATTTATATTGCGATTTTCTTATCTTCGGTCATGTATCGTACGACCCTATTGATACCATATGTGTTTAATACTAATGTACTCCGTAGTTGGTACTCAGCAGAGTTGAATGCATGCACACGACAGTATATGTCTCTCGGCGATGAGACGTACTAAAAAGAGAGAAAAGAACGAATTCTCGATGACTAGTGCAACAAAACAGCCGTAGAATAACTAAATGTGACATCTCCAGGCAGTCGCCATTATATCTGATAAATGGGCAGCCATTCATTCCATGTATGATAACATATATTATAACACAACAACACATCGATACATCAAATAAAACGGATAGGATTACATCTACACCTTTCCTGCCATGTATCGTCAGTTTATCGTATGAGCTAGTGTATTTTTGAGTTAACGTAGTAGAATAATGCGAGACTCAAAGGTGGGCGGGACGACCTTATGTAGTTCATCTCCTGAACAGCAACCGGAGCACCCTGGTGATTTCTGCATTCCACTTATATAACAATACCGTCCAGGGCACTAAACATGATTATTTTGCCAGGATGTAAGCGTAACACGAAGCTACAATGCTGATACTTGATGGATATATGTCTAGTTATTGATCCTAGAAGAGCCGGAACGTGTTACAGACATGATGACAAAACCGGTGGTGAATCATTAGGGAGCTAACTAGTTAACTGATCTGAGAGGCATCGGGATCAGAAAAACATCTTTGTTCCTTTGTCAACTATAACTAAGTCCTTAGCTTGAGATTTTTTTGTTATATCGATATATCACACTCTTTACTCAACACCTCTCTCAACTGACACCTTGAGCAAAGCTTATTCCAAGATCAATCAGAGCCTCATCCCCTAGCCCTTTCTTCTTCATGCCTTAAGCTTTGTTGAGACGCCCAACACTCCATCGAACGGTTCGATTGAGGACCCGCGGGGCCAGCGTACCACGGAATCTCCTGATACATCCCGCAGTGGCCACCAAGACTTGGTATTACCTGACACCATGTTGCTAACCACGGTTTGCTGGGTATCAGTAACCACGGATTAAAAGTAGCTATCTCTAGTGAATGACATAACGATGACGAGCAGTTGCGGCGGTGAGGTTGGTAGGGCGGCCGGGGGCAAAGTGGGAGGCGAGGTTGGGTCGAACGGGCAGCCCCCAGCCTGAGCAGCAGGAGCGACCTGGCAGAATAGCAAAGAAGCTACGACGGCGGCGAGCCGACAGTATCCATGGCCATCTTTCGCATGTTTAGACAGCTTGAACCTGCTCCTTTGAACGGAACACTTAGCTCGTCCTGTTGGAGTTACTCGACAGGACGGGCAGGGAGCGGGTTGACATGGAACCAGCCATCGCAGGCACATATGGCTCTGACAGCCTGAATGGAGCACTCCTAGAGGGTATCAGAGCCTTGGTCAGTTATTCCGACCAGCACTGGGATATACACAAGCAACCATTCGTAGATTTGATCTTCCTTGGCTGTCGGTGGGTAGTAATCATCGCCAGCCTCGATAGGGCTGCCCTTTTACCATGACATCGAACTTTTACTTAAGCGCTGGCTTTTGTTCTATAAACGTTTAGTTCATTATCAGTGTATTTACAAGTAGAAATGCATACCGAAATAGACGGAGAAAGTAGTCCTGACCATAAAGGTGAAGAGCGTGATGGTTCATAGCCTCGACATGGCCCAAATACGGGTTTAACGGGAACAAAGCATTTACCCTCAGCCTACTGACGTATTTATTAGAAGTAGATATGATTGAAAGTAGGATATATATATATATATATACCTTGAATGAAAGAATACTCAACAATCACATCAAGTTTCCATAGTCCATTATTGCTAGGGACGGGACATTTTTATATGTTGCTCTGAGGAGATTCGCCCACTAGAATCAACAAGATGTAAAATGATGCATGAACAATAATTGCTCTAGAGAGATAGCATTGACCGCAATGGAGGTGCGTCTGCCTGTTCCACTTCTCCCAGCCAGGAGATAAGATACCTCAGCTAGACAGGCAGCTTCCACCGGGGCCGCCAGAGCGAATTGAAAATAATACTGAAATTAATATTGAATATTGAACTGCATGTGAGGCGTTCAACTGCCAGCGTTGCTGCTTTTATAGCAAACTCGCTGCAACCTGCTGACTAAGCACTAACTAATTTGGCCGATGATGAAGACGATTTTGGCGGTGATGAGGACGATTGAGGATGATGCTGACGACCTGCGAGAAGAGAGAGACAGCCGGTAGAAGAGTGTATACAAATGCAGGCAGGGAGGCAGTAGTTCTCCGTATCTGCGTCTGCTTTGCCCGGACAGGCCGCTCTAAGGAGCCTGCCGAAACGCTGCGGCCAAGCCTGACTAGTTATTTTCACTCAGTTAGGCAGTTGACAAAGCCAACCTCGACTTGGTGATAGCTTCACGCAGATATCTAACCAGGAAGAGAGAACCGGCTTCTGGCCTCAGCTCTAATGTGACTTTCTGCCCTCTCGATACTCGACCTTCTCTACCGTGCCTTTTAAAAGAAACCGACAACCTGGAGGCGACATCAGCTCGGATGGCGGCCAGGGACCGCTTCAGCGCCTACCTGGAGCCACCCGCACAGTCGACGCTGCAGCGGTATATCCGTACGTTCTCTCCCTCGTGCCAGTGCAACCCAGATGTCTTTGCTGCTTCCTGTCCAAGAGTGAAGATGGCTGCTGACCGAGTGACTTGGACCAGATAATGCATGCGATCCCCAGAACTACGAACCGAACCTGGCCCTCAACCTGGAGGTGGTGGATTTGATCAATACAAAGAGGGGAAACGCGTGAGTGCAGTAGTCCAGCGGTTTGCGCTGGATTTACTTCTCTATTTTCAATGGGATGAAGTCCTAATAAGATGCCAATGGTAAAGGCCTCGCGAAGCAGCAATGACCATAGTCCAGTTGATAAACTCCCGGAATGCGAATGTTGCGATGCTAGCCCTCGCTGTATGCTCCCTACCGCTGCTCGCCCTTTCCCCCTTGATATCTCAGGAGGTACACGAGGCTGACTGCTTGGCCGCTCCGCTGTCCTTTATACTGTCCAGTTGCTCGATATATGCGTCAAAAACTGCGGATACCCGTTTCATCTCCAGATCAGCACAAAGGAGTTCTTGAACGAACTAGTTCGAAGATTTCCCGAACGACCACCTATTCGACCGTCGAGAGCGCAACAGAGGATCCTCGAGTCGATTGAAGAATGGAGACAGACGATATGTCAGACCTCAAGATACAAGGATGACCTCGGATTCATCCGTGACATGCACCGCCTTCTCCTCTACAAGGGTTATGTGTTTCCTGAAATCCGCCGTGAAGATGCTGCCGTTCTGAACCCGAGTGATGTATGTTGGCCCTCCTTCAGTGCTTCGTACCTTTAGCTCAACAGCCAATGCTGGTACTAATGATACACGCCATATAGAATCTCCAATCTGCTGAGGAAATGGAGGAGGAAGAGAAGATCGCTCAGTCGGCAAAACTGCAAGAGCTGATACGGAGGGGGAACCCGGATGATCTTCGAGAAGCCAACAGACTGATGAAAATAATGGCAGGCTATGATACTCGGCACCGGACGGACTATCGAGCAAAGGCGGCTGAAGAGGTCTCCAGGGTTCAGGAGAAGGCTAAGCTTCTTGAAGAGATGCTGGAGAATTTTAAGCCTGGAGACAAGTTATCAGAAGGAGACGTTTATGAGGTGCGTGCTGGCTGTCATCAGGAAGAGGGATGCGACAGATACTTACCTGACTTACATAGGAACTGGCAAGCGCTCTTCAAAATGCACACCCTAAAATACAAAAGATGTGCGAGGATGAGTCTGAAGACAACGAGGCCGTATCGAAACTATTAGAAATAAATGATAGTATACACCGAACGGTGCAAAGATATAAGCTGATTAAGGCTGGAGATGTAACTGCGGCATCCAACATACCTAGGGGTACTCTGGGGACGAGTACGGGCGTTAAAAAGAATGCTGCCAACGAACTATCTTTGATTGATTTTGGAGGCGAGGAAGAACAGGTATCGGCTGCTTCCAACGGTAGTACGGCTGTTAAGCCGCCTGCTGCTTCCGCCCTTGAGGGTGACTTACTGGGCCTTTCCTTCCAAGACGAACCCCAGGGCCAGGGAAGTGTTGCACTTTCTCTAGGACCAGCTGAAGGTGAGTAATAACTTCCATATTTCCGTCCACTCTCACAGTACTGCTACTTACCACTGAAGAAGGCGCTTCATCGGTTTCGCTTCCAAAGTCGCCATCAATGCCTTCTACTTCAACGCCTACGCCTAAACCATCTGACCCGTTTGCCGCCATTACCTCGGGAGGGTCAAGGACATCATCACCGTTCAATAAATTACAGAGCTCGGCTTCTTCAAACGCCGCACCTTCGTCATTACTAGATTTAGGTCAGCTAGCATCTGGACCACCAGCCCCAACCCTACATGCACCATATTCGCCTCAACAATCCTGCCAATCCAAACAAGTGACGCCAGCCCAGACCTCTGACGCAGATGATGAATGGACCTTCTCGTCTGCTCTTCCAGAAGAAACTTTACCCTCACAGAATACCATTGAAGTTCTCAACACCAACATAGGAATAAAAATGCAAGTGAAACGCTTTCCTGGTGAGAACAAAATACATGGCCTTGTGTCATTCTCTAACAATACCCCTCACGCTATTTCAGAACTACATTTCCAAATCGCTATTGAAAAGGTAAAAGAAGCCATTTCCCTCTTTCCGTTTCCATGCTTGGCTTTAATTTTATTTATAATTTTTCAACAACTCATGGCCCTAGACGTATTTGAATGACTATCAGCTAACGTCATGTTTCCTCTCGTTTAAACTTTTGCAGTCTTATTCCCTACAGCTCCGGCCTCAGTCCGGCAGAGATATTGCGCCATATCAGAAGATTGGAGTTCAGCAGCAACTCCAAATGGATGGAGTCCAGCCAGGCAAGGGGAACACGGTCAGGCTTCGGTATAAAGTGTCCTTCAAGGTTGGACAGGAATTAAATGAGAGTGATGGGTTGGTGCCATCGTTAGGTATCTCGTAGAAAAAATCGGGCTATGGAGGTGGGCTACTTTTCTGCAGAATATATACCGTCTTATTATTGACTTTGCTTTACAACTGTTATCTTCACCATTTGTATATATCGGGTCCACGGAAATCGCCGAGGGCCCTTTACTAGGGCTATATAGTTGCACAGCTACGATTTAACGCGATTCCTGTCTTTTTGCCCAGCTACTTTCCTCGGGTGAGAGTGTTTTGTGAATATATTCATGACGCTCCTCTGGACGTATTTTTGTTGATATATGGCCATACGTCTCAACTCTGGATAGTGGTTGACAGGAACCAGTCTTTTAACTTGTTGGGGTAAACACACTGCACTGCCCTTCCCCCCGACTTTTGAACTGGCAGCTTAAAAAGAAAATCTAGCGGACGTTAGTTAGTTACCCAATCTGAAACCACATGAGAAAGAACGAGCGAAGCTTGATGTTTGTACGTAGCCTGTAACACATGGAGCGTTTCAAGGAGCGCGTCTAGTCTCCACTTAACTAAGTTAAATCGTCACACGCGCCAGTGACTAACAAACTAAGCAACAAACTACCCGACACTAACTGATTTAGCCGCTCGTCACCGCGATAGAGTTCGGCTACTTCGACGACGTCATGCCATGTCGCTCCCTTCTGCGCTCCTTCCTATAACGATACCATAGCATGCATCCATGATGCGCATAGAGCTTGCTCTAAATATACCAACACAGTACCATGGATCAAGTGCCTGGATACTTGGCTAATACCACGCTACGGCTACAGTACAGCGCTTGCAGTCCCGCGGCCCCTGAAATCTGGTAATTCTCACCAGCAACGGTGGTATTGGCGACTCAGTGCTAGATGACACCTTGGTTCATTATCCTATCTAAACCACGCAAAACAAACATCGTGGTAGAGCTCTGGTATACCACATACCTTTGGTCATGTTGGAGGCTTTGTGGTGGAAGCCCTGACGCAAAAGGGGCTAGGCCC